GTATTTAATTTTAAAAAATATATCCATTAAAAATGGTAAATAAAAAAAGTTATAATAAAAAGCTTTGCTATATATATATATATATATATATATATATGCTACTTTACCACTTTTTTACCGTTTTTTAAAGTGTAAGTATAAAAAAAACTTAAAGCTGGATTGCGTCTCTATTACAAATAGTCTAGAAATAAATCATAGGACACGACAATTGCATACCAGTATAGAAAACTCTATATATATGGCTGTATTGCCACATATAAATGTAAACATTAAAAATGACTACTGATGTGTATAAAAAATTAGCAACCATATGACATATTTCATAAACTTGTTTGTATAAACTTGAGCATGGAACTGGATTCCACTTTTTTTTTCAGTGATGACGTCAAATAAGAAATGGGTTCACTTTGGATATTCTCACTCCTTATGTATTTGCATATCTACATTTTCGGAAATAATGTGGAATATATTTTATTAGAAAATATTTGTACTCACTTGTCCTTGAGGATCGTCAAGATGCGAGTACAATACTTTTTCAGACAAGGTCATGTCTCGACCTAACCTCTTTTTAACCACTTCTAAATTTTTCGACAACTTCTCGTAGGGCAATGGAGCCTTGTCTAACCTTGACATGGCGACCTAAAACGCATAATTACACTGTTTTAAACACCATAGATGTACAAAGAAACACAATTTTCGCATCGGCGCTGATTACATAACTCGTGTGTTTGGATCACTAAAAATGGAATATTTTATCACTTTTCGAAAAGTCAAGACTTCAGGAATACCTGAGCCGCAGCGGCGGTGAGCGGTGATACGCTGAAGCATCTCTGCTGAATCTCCAAGAGAACAGATCTTGTCCTGCTACCCTGTAAGAATCGATTTCAGTACTCATTTTTACCATTCATAATGTAAACTAAACAAATTGAATAACTGAAGATTGATAAGAGCTACAGCAGAAGTAACCTCCACTGACCCTTTCATTTAGGAGTTATCATTAATAGTGTCTTATCGATAATATAGTAAACAAAACACGCGAACCGGATGTTTATTTATTATAACTATTCTGAATCTTACAAACTTTTGTGGAATGGAACTGAATATAATAAAGTAAAATTTACCTGGCCATGCAAAACTCTCATACAGTGAGCCATGGTGGCTGGACTCGACGATATAATTTAGTAAAAATTAGTTGCCCCCAAATTTAAATAAATAAAGGCAGCATCGATTTCAGCCCAGCCTACTCCCTTTGGTTTTTTAATTTTTCCACTTCCAGAATATTACCTAACTCGAAGAAACGGCCGCCACTCGACTGCACTTAGTTCGTATTCTGGATTGAAGGAACACAGTTCGTAATGGAATTTTTTTAATTTTGGCAAATAGCATATTGGCTATTGCATATGTGTAGCGCTGTCAGCTTGACAGCACCTCAGCACCTTGACACTTGACAGATTAAACTGTTGTCGAATGTTAACAGTCCGGTGGGCAGCCAAGTATAAAATGGGCTAAATAAGTTAAAAAATTAACAATAGTCTTGTCCGAATATTTGTATTTGTTGCTAATAGTATTCTGAGTGATTACCACCATGACCAATGCCACCATTCAGGTAGTATCACACTAATTAAATAATTTATCGTTACCATCCTATTTCATTAGAATGGCCGATCTATATTATCTCTACATAAAGCTTTTCAATAGGTGTTTCATATTTGTAGGAAATTGAAGGTATTGATGATTATTGGGGCCCAGCATTTAGATCTGTTTATGAAGGAGAAGGGGGTCACGAGGCATTTCTCCAGCAGTTGGATGAGAGGATCAAGCAACATGACAAGGAAATTGAAAAGCTCTGCAACTTCTATTATCAAGTAACTATAATAGTATCTGAATGAAAAGTGATGGGGGTTCCCTGTTAGTAAATAAAATGAAGTTTATATTAATTATGTGACTTGTTTACTATCTGTTTTCACTACAGGGTTTTATAGACTCTATTCGTGAATTGCTAGAAGTAAGATCTCACGCTGAAGAGCTCCACGCTGAGATATCCAATGTGGATGCCAATGTAAAGGAGACTGCTGATGGTAGGTAATTGGATAAATATGTGGCATATGAGTGAGAAAAAATATATTTCTACAGTTCACTTCATAATTTACTTTTTAGGCTTATGTGTACGTGCTGAAGAACTTCTTAGGGCAAGACGAGTAGAGTTAAATATAGCCTCAACTATTGAGAAGATGGAATTATGTTTACCCCTACTTACTACATATTCTAAATTGAAGTCCCAAGTTGAAGCTAAAAGGTACTATGAAACTGAAGTGTGCTACTACTAAGTTATTCTACTTCTTAAACGGTTGAATCTTGTTTAGATATTATCCTGCTCTAAAAACTTTAGAGCAATTGGAGCATGTGCTACTGCCACGAGTAGGGCCTTACGTCTGGTGCTCTCAGATAACTGCTGATATACCAAAACTGAGGCAGGCCATACAGGATGCCTCTATGGCTGATCTTCGCGACTTTCTTGAGAACATTCGCCGTGTCTGTCCACAGGTAACGAACATTAAGATCAGGTATGTTGCTCCAATGATCAATATAACTTTTGGATTGCTATAACAATAGGTTGGTGCACTGGCTTTGAAGCAAACCCAAGACATGCTCGGGAGAAGTTTAGAAAACATTATCAAGAACAAAAAAGGTGAATATTATGATACATGGTGATATTTTAAGCATAAATATATATTAATATTATTGATATATGTTAAACAGATATGGCAACCCTAGGCCTATCGACATCTGAACACAGTGCCCCACAGAGTCCGCATGAACTGGTTGATTTCAGTCCACTGTATCGCTGTCTACACATCCATACTGTGCTTGGTGCTCAATCAGACTTTATACAATATTATCGGTGAGATATTTTAGAAACAGTATTATTCAGTGAAAAGTAGAGGTTTTAACTTAGTAGTGTCTCGATAATTATTTCCTTTATCCTATAGAGCTCAGCGCAAGCAACAAGCGCGTCTCGTAGTAATTCCTGCGGCTGGCAATCTGCATGATTCTATCCAAAGCATGAAAAGCTATCTCAACGCTGTCCTCGGATTTTTCATTCTGGAAGAACATCTTTTGACTACAGGTTGTACAAAATAAATGTCTTATTAAAATTCTGTACATCATTACATACTGTTATACCATAGCACCATGTATCATCGTACATATTACATTTTTTGTCCTGGTGTAAGAAATAAGGTAAGTGCAAATAGTCACATGTTACTTTTTACATATTGCTATATTATAAATGTTAATTATATTAAAAATAAATTAATAAATGTTTCATGAGCAGGCGCCGGTTTGGTGTCGATGGATTGGTTGGTGGACACTTGGAGCGCTTCGTTGAGCGCCGTCGCGGGGACGTTGCGCACGAACACGGCCCTCGTCACCGACCCCACCCTTATGCTCAGCATCAAGCACCAGATTGTGCTCTTCATTAATGCTCTAAAGTAAATCATTCAGTAACATTCTAAAAAAAAAACTAAATATTTTGTTTGAATATTGCTAAGAATAAGTATGCACCCGCAGATGTTACGGCCTGTCGTCGGACCCGCTGCCGCAGTTGCTGCAGGAAATGGCAGAGCATTACACAGAGGTGCTGATGCAGCGCTGGGTCGTTGTTTTCAGGGACGTTCTCGACAACGCCACGTTCAAGCCCATTGAGGTATGCTAGTAAACTGGTTTTTCCTCACAAAATGTATATCTTGTTTGTCACCCGCCCGAAATTCAGCGTTCTACTCTAGACTCCATTGTCGGTGCTCATGTTTCGTACATGTTACCTGCATTGCAGTTATTGCAGCGTTTGCGTTGTTGTTGTTGTAGAAACATCTTTCTGTTAAAGTATACTTTTTAATGAAATAAGTTTCGGTAACATTTTACTTCTTGCACTTTCTTCTTTTAAGTTCCATTAAAACTGCTTCTTGACACATTCACATATAAAAAAGCTGTTATATTCTTAAAAAGGTTGAGACTCAAGAGCAATATGACGGAGTTATGGATACTTTTCCTTATGACGGAGATGAGTTGGAGATGCAACCGTTTCCAAGAAAGTAAGTTTACTCTATATTTCCATTAAAAATAGATTACATTTAAATAAAGTATGAGGCGCAAATTCCATTTCTAATTCCCCGTTTCTTGGCTTGCGCAGTATGTTCAAACACAATTTAAATTCTTATTATTCTCACCCCATTAGGGTTTTGCGAAGGTATACCTCTCTTTAATCGGTTGCCTGGATTCAACAGTCGCATAATGACAGCTGAATTTTTGCCTCCATTGTAGGTTTCCATTCTCATCCATAGTCCCCGCCGTATACGTCCAAGTGAAAGAGTTCATTTACGCGTGGCTCAAGTACTCCTGCGGGCTGGGACTGGGCGGAGGACGACGGGCGGCGGCCGCCAGGCATTCCGCGTCGCTACTGCTCAGTCGCTCTTTCACTGGATGTCTCTCTGCGCTCTTTCGGCGCTCCTTGCCTCTTATGCAGCTCGTACAGGTGAGGCTATCGTCGAAAGCCGATTATGCCAATTCGTATGTGAATGGGAATGTTTGAATTTCTACGTTTTCTTCTTCAGATAATTATGGACACACAATACCTGGAGAGTGCGACGCCATACCTCTATGAGTTCATCAGCAACATAACTGGCTCCGAACTCGTCTCCACCCAGGTTCGAGCGCTGTCTATTTTATCCGTACGAATGTTTCATTTGCCGACGTTCGACTGTTTCTACTCCGTCATTTTTATCGACAGCAAGCTGGCAGTATGTTTCAAGCGGCACGCGATGACGCAGAGAGACAGATCTGTGAGAACCTGCAGCAGAAGGTGGACGAGTTTCTCGACCTCGAAAACTACGATTGGTCGCTCGGTGAGTTTCAGCGCTCGATTGTCGCGTCCGTCGCGCAATAAGTATAGGAAGGTCTGTTTCAGTGGAACCGACCGGGCAGGCTTCGTCCTTCGTTACCGATATGCTGGGTTACCTCTCCGGAGTGCTGGCGTCCCTGGAGCAGCTACCTCAGCGCGCGCGGTATTCTCCTTCTCTAATTCGGCGTCCGTATTTTCGACGTGCGCCCCTCGCTCACCTTTCAAATTTTTAGCGTCGCAGCCGTGCGGACCGCGACCACTCGCATAGCGACCCGGTTGCGTAACTTGCTGCTCGAGCCGGCGGTTCGGCAGGTGTCGTCGGGGGCGCTGCACCAGCTCGACCTAGACGTGATTCAGTGCGAGCAGTTCGCGGCCAGCGAACCCGTGCCAGGTCTTCGCGAAGGCGAATTGCTGGAGCACTTCGCTAGTCTGCGGTAAGCGTGCTTTTAACTCTATTTTAATCGCTTCTAGTTGATAGATTTATTTGAGTTTTATCACGTACTTTTCGTTTTTATTAGTGAATGTTAAATGTTATTTTTATTTAGGTTTTTTTTTCACCGGTCTAAACCGTATTTTAGTTATTTGTTTATAAGCATTATTATTAATTTTTCATAATTTCAATTACATATTGTGTCCACCTTCCTATTATATTTTTATTTAATAAATCATTATCCTCTAGTAGTTGAGGCATTCGTCACGATCGCTAACGGGCTTCGAAAAACGACATTGCACAAAGGGCCGCTAAGATCGTCTTTTTACTGAAGTAAAACACACGTGGCCAATCTCCGACCAAATCCTTCTTAGATTGTATTTATTGTTTAGATCAATTTATATGAAACCGTTATCGTAACTTCAATAGAGTTCAATGTGGAACGTTAAAGTGAATAATTACGTGTACTAGATTCAGTGGGCGTGGCGTAGTGGGTGGGTGCCTTTAATCCCAATAACTAACCACAAACTACGCAGACAATGGACCGGAGGCACCTAGTGTATAGAACCTGATTAGCCGTAGGTTTTATTCGAGCTGTTATCCCTTACTATGTAATATAATTTGGAAACCGAAATTCATAGTAAGAGACGCTTTTTGGCCGTAACTCTTGAATGTTAAAAAATATACCGAATTATTTAAATAAGACGAACCTCCTGTATGCATTCCGCCTACATCGAAACAAGCGGATTCGTTCTCTATTCGTTTTTTCTATGGATTACGTTTTCATACCAAAATTGTCTGCCTTGGACCGCCTCCGAGGCCTCATATAATACAACGCGGGAAGTCAGTGTCCACCGCACGCAGGAAAAACGCGATTTCGAAGCGCCGTACTTGGACGCCGTCGTCGTCGAAGTTGAATACGGTATCAAGCGGTACTGTGGCACAGTGTGTCGTTTACATAGTAACTCCTCACTAAGGCAAACGCTGCAAGGTATTCGTGTCCTCGCTATTCTTTATGCCTTTTCACTACCTTCCCTCTCACTCGATTCAATCTCCACCACGCCAACTGTGGATGTCAATAAAAGACTACTTGGAATCTTTTATTTTGTAATGTTTCTTTTTAGGCAACTTCTGGACTTAATAACGAGTTGGGACTGGTCCTCTTATCTTCACGACATCGGCTTAGAAAACGGTAAATACGCCTTAGTCCCGCCGCGGGACGCGGCCACCTTGCTAGAGAAGCTCAGAGAAGCGGAACAGAAGTCTTCCGTATTCTCCGTCTTGAAGAAGAACGAAAGGGACAGGAGGAAGTTGCTAGATACGGTTCTAAAACAACTTAAACAGTTGCACAATCAAGATGGCTAATTGTAATACATGTTTTTCTTGGTGACATTTAGGTATTTTTACTATTTACAGTGGCGTGAAATCCGAATAGGCCGAATCGCATTTTCATCAATTTAATACATTCCATATTTTTGCTACCATTTTCTAGGAAATACCACATGATCATTGAACTAAATCTAATCGTAATCCTTATTGATTCTCAAATATGGTTTTACCCAAATATACATTCGAATAATTATTAGACAATAATCAGTTTGTCTTAAATGCGAGTCATTTATCCACAGGGCCGTGGGGGTCGGATTTAATACATATCCTATCGAAAAACATAAATGTTAAAAGGGGCGCCGAGCTCAAAACAAAAATTGTGCTATGCTTAGCCGTAAAAAGAAATTTCTGTGCAAAATCCAAGAATGTACCAACTTATAGGAATAAAATAATATTATGAACAAGTGACGCACTCTATTTTTTACTAAAACACTATCTTATATTTGACTTTCTCAAAAATCAAGGAAAGAAAGAAAGAAGATTTATTTACTACTAAGGTACACAAAAGCACATGTTACACTTATAACATAAGAAAAAAAACGATGTTTAACTCGTTTAAAGGTATTATTCCATTGCATTATCTATGGTAGGCTTAATGAATATATCATTCATTATTTGTACATACATACCGTGCACGTTACTCGCTGTCCAAAATGTCAATAATAAATGTGACCTGACCTAGTCACTAATCGTGGAGCTGTGACATTGCACCAATCAAGATCAAATTGATACCATTACTTGTGAGTTGTGCTGTTCACTAAGGCAGATCAGTGACGAGTGGAGAGATATTCTCTAATTTTAAATTAACTGATCTTGCTATCATGTGATAAGCGGTAAAGGTTCGCTTTGACGCCGTTGATTTTTACCTACGTGAAATTGATAATAAACGTAGAAGGCACGTCTCGGAATCCTGACTGGCCGTAGACCGATTAAGCGGTCCGGCTCACGCTGAGACGACACGGTAGACCTGGACCCGGTGGATGAGCCAAGTTGTTGCACTGGATCTACGGACGAGCGGAGAGCTACAGCGGCGTAACTAGAGAGTTTTATGGCTAACCTTATTGCAACTACAAAAGTAAGATACGTATGTGATCCGTATCGATCGGGAGTATTTTGCAATAGGCACGGTTCAGTATGCCCGGCGTAAGTCGTGAGCGGGGGCGATTTATTAGGCGAGGCCGCACTTCGGCCTTTCCCGTCAGACGCACCGTAGACGAGTCCTAATCTCATTTTAAATTATTTTTGAAAGTAGTTGGCAATCGTTCAAGGTTAATAAATCCACAGATGTTAAGGTTAAATATTTTTTGTTTTAATTCTCATTAAACTGTACTTGTTCGTAAAGCTTTCGACTGAATCTTCGCTCTCGTTAAAGAACGGCTTTCGTTTGATAATCGTGGTTTTTTCTTAAAGATACAACAAACGTTAAAAGATAAGATACGCGCAGCACGTGACGACAAAATATCCAAACGTTAATACAGAAAAACAATTGAAATTGATTGTATGTATATTTCTTTCTCTTTCCACACTCTTTTAAAAAATACCGTTATCATAAAATATATTATATAGATAATTTTATCAAATGTTCGACGAAATGAGATTTTTTATACTAATAGTATTAGTGAATATTATTTTCGGCATGAAAATTTATTATATATTTGTACTATTGTATAACGTGAAACGTTTGAAAACTTTATTATTTTTTACATGTTATTGCACATGAAGGCACTATATAATTTAAAAATCGAAAATAAATTTAGTAGACCAACAGCGCGGAACGCTTACGATGCCGGTTAAGTCCTGCCCGATTCGAAAAAAATTTCAATTTATTTTCGATTTATAAATTATATAGTGCCTTCATGTGCAATAACATGTGAAAAATATTAATGTTTTCAAACGTAAATACCTACTGTGACATTAATTCTACAATACACAAGCATCCAAAAAGTATAGTATTACTTACCTCTTAACGAAAGTACACGAAAAATTATAAGAAATGACAAAAAAAACTTCTGGATCGCATACTGTCTACATCATCGCGGGGACCGTAATGGGGACAGGGGAGGGTGTTGGCAAAGCGCGGTATTATCCAACTTTCCCCTAAATGTGCACTAACTGAAACTACAGACAATACGTTCCAACCTCAAACGTTCCCCTTTTAGGCGAGCGTGTGAAAATCGCTTTCCGAAGGAGTTATGAAAAACTAGCGATGTGTGTCAAAGTCGGTCGCAATGAGTCACACTCGAACCTGGTCAAGTTTTTACAAGAGCTTTTGAAGGTTAACTCCTAAGTGGAGTTTAATGTCATCAAAAGCGTCGCTTCTAGCATCCGCGGTGGTAAACTTGTAAATAACATATACGAAATTGATATATGGGTCGTCCTGTTGCGTCATTTCCTCGTTGAAATGGTTTCGAGAACGTAAATTAAAGAAATATTTAATCTCAAATATTTTAGTTTTAACATTTCGTATTATTATCATTTATCCGTCTTCAACAAAAATAACAAATGGGGTTCTAAAAGTTTGTTTACAATAGAAAGATTGTTAATGTGTTTTTTTGGAATTTTCAGATGCCTTAATATGCCAGTGATAGGGACACGTTGTGTCAAATGTCAGTTTTCTTACATTGTGATACGTATATACATATAGGTGGATTTCGATTAGGTTAGGTAGAGTCGGGATAAGTTCGATTTATATCTAAACGGGAGCAGCACTCATTCGTTTGTTTTTCAATCCTCAACGTTCGACTCCCATGTCGAACGACACGACAACGATTTAGTAAGGTAGATGCTAAATTATACCTTTTATATTGTGTCTATCATTTTGTTAAGAAGGACAGACTGAGCGGTTTCAAAGGATAACGTATCGTGTGCCGTCTATGGGCACGGGGCCAGATGGATAGCTGAGCCCGTTTCGACGATAATTTCAACAATCAACATCGTAACAAAGGACTCGCCTACAAATAAAAGTGCCAAACTGGTGTACAAACGTATTAAAAGTGTTTTTTTTTATTATTATTTATATGTATAACGTTAACCATATTTTGATTATTCGGATCCGAGAACAAGAGAGTTAAACGCGCGCAGGACTGACGACACAATCCTGCGCCGGTCGCAACGGTGGCAAGTGTCATCGAAGGTTTCTAGATCAGTGTCAAAACATTGAAGTAGAATAATCATCCAACTCCTACGCGTTATTTGTTATCATCAATTACTGGCGCAAAGACCTCCAAATCTAAACACTTTGCATATAGATGTGGCAGGGGATTTGCTTAAGTTTACACGTTGAAGGCATTAAATAACTAAATGCAAATTCACATCATTGCGTTTAAAGTAGAATACGAATGAAATAATTGATCTTGGCCAAAAAATTGTGGCAGCGTACGTTTCGTCCGTATAAACTACGCTCTCCGAAAATAGCTCTTAAGTTTTCGCGGGCTTCGCCGAATGCAAAGGATTTTGCACCTGCTACATCTTTCCCAAGTTAGTGTGTAATTATTAGGTTTTACGTATCACTTCCACAGTGGCTATATTTTTATATCACGTTTATATTTATTTGTGATCGGTTACACTGGGATCCACTAATTATACTTTAATTATTAGTACCTACCTAGTAGTTTATCTTAATATCGACCCGAGAGCTGTCTCCTTCGATGAGGTAAGCCTCCGCGGGGTTCGTTTGACGTGAGTTTTGCGTAAGTGCCGTGCCCGTAAATTGGGTCAACGTATGACTTTGAAAGTAGTCCACCGAGATTCCGCGTCAAAATGATTTAAGGTCGGAGACAGCTTAAGGCGTATGTCGAAGCGACTCGCGTGCCGATTTTTTCTTTTTAAAATCCCTCACAAACACCTTGCACCGCGAAGGACCCGCGCCTGCAGTGAGGATTCATTTCATTCCCTCGTGAATAGGGAGCGCACAAACTCTAAACGATTTAGTTCCGGACATTTCATAGTTGAGTATCTATTGTTCTATGTTTGACGTTGATTTTGTTTTGAAGTACATAAACCTCTTTTCAGAGCTAATATTTGTTCCAGCTCATACATAAAGAAACGATAATTAAACATACAACTCTAACATTAGACGACGTGTCATATAGAATGTAAAGAGATCGGATCAAAAGCGTAAACGAACAAAGCGAGGCGAGCGGGTAGGATTTCAATATTATTTATGCGAGTTTTGCAAAACGATATTTGCATACGCGTGTATACTTGTATCTTTCGACTCGCGGCCCACGCGAATGTTGTGCGAACTGAAATTCGTACCTTGTCCCTTTGACCACTCCGAGGTTTCCACCGAGACGTAATACTCGTAGCGTTTTGCGTTACACTGCATGGTCGTATCAGCGCCCGTGATGTCTTATTTCAGATTTTTCTCGCACAGCTTTCAATCAGATGGATGTCATTATTTCATTCTACCTCCGTGTAGGACTTTAGTCAGCGTGTAAGTTAAAAACCTATCGTTAAAAACCGTTAAAAGATTCGATCAGTCGGGTTCGCTTAACGATATCGCTCATCTGGAAGTATTTGGGAGCGGCTTATTGATTAGCAAAATTATTCGGAATGAAATCTAACCAGAATAGGGCATAATATTTACTTTTGCAGGGCAAAATAATTCATTTTTATAATTTTATTTGATATACAGACATACTATTCTACGGTATTATGAAAGTATAAATTATACTTCAACTCTAATAATATTTCATAATTATTAGAACAATCGAGGAGTTAACATCTCCCGATGATGCCGTCCGCACGTGATGGCGAAATGTCGAGAACCTCTTCTCGTTCACGTCGGCCGAACGACAAGGATATGCTGTCTAATAATATTGTCATTATAGTTACCGACTAGACTACACAACTACAACTCCAACTGCTTATTATTGAAAAAAAGGCGGATTTCATCACTTCCAATATTTTTTTGCATGAGGTACATTCGTACTACTCGTAGTTGATGATTTATCGAACGCCGAACTTCTTTCTACTTGTATTCTTCCGTGCTATTTATTCACGCTACTATTATGTAAATACCTAAATAAAAAAATAATGGCTCAACTGCATCGACGTCGTGTTCCTTTCAGACCCTCAGAATGAGAGTCACAGAATCATTTTCATCCTCGAGAAGTGACGTGCGTCGCAATGGTCATTAACTTATATAATAATTCTCTTTAACGCCTCGCTAGAATATAAAAGATATTAGACATGATCTACTTTGATATGATAATAAGTTACACGTTAACGGATTGCAAAATTTGGCCACACGTGTTGGGCAATACTGCACCGGTCCTGTTATACCTAGCACTAGGCTTAGCACGACATGACCTCGGCTCAAATCATGGAGTTATTTTTATCTCGAATAATTAAACGTTATTTATAAACATTGCACCGTACGTCATTAGGTATTGCTCTGGTAATCTGTTAATATAGTATGTAGAGAAATATATATGTCGAGTTTGAACTCTTTATTGCTACACACACAAAGTATATACAAATGTAACCTAAGAATAGTTAAGTTAAATAATATAGCTCTTGGGGAAACAATAATTATTAGTAGTTATGGAGCTACGCGCGGCCCTATCGCTATAGACATATTAGGGCGACTTCTTCCAGGCGAGTATCTTTGAAAACGAAAACCCTTAGCTAATTGTTATCACAGTTTTAGTCGACAAATGACAATATCGTACGTCGGCTTCATCCAAAAATCGATCCCGGTAGAGCACGTCTTAGGCGATTCTTTCATACCATATAGTTCCAGTTTGTTCTACGCCTTCTAAGGCTATCGTCTGAAAAAGAGTTCAATACGTTTGTACAACGCTCAGCTTAATGTGAGACGTATCGATACAGAAATGTGGAGTCTGCGTTTGACCTTCGTCCGCTTCTATCGGAAGGAGAAACGAGCTTACCATGGTGCAGTCGGTGTCGGAGAATTCTCGCCGGAAATAGGCAGATTTCCCATCCGGAAGCTTTATCATCTGATGCAACACGTTGTCTCCGTGTAGGGTGTACGTAATTCTCACCTAAAATAATAATAAGATTTTTTGTCGATATAGCAATCGAGCAGAGTGGGTTGATCTATATCGGTTCGCTGATGATGTGTTTACAGAAGTGATATATGTAATTGAATTTAACGGCTTTAATTAAAGCACAAAAGCTTTCACTAACCGCGATCTACATATTGAACGCTATAGATGTGATGTGCATTCATACGTCTTCTCTCTCTTTAAATGAGGCGCTGACAAACTTTTCCGAAATCCATCCGCTATCGTTGCACAACCATATGTCACTAAAAACCCGTTTAACTCAAGAGTGAGTTAAGAAAACCACGGCTGCTGGCAAATGCAAAGCATCCGAAACCTCGGGCCGTAGTTAAAATGATTTTCAAATAAGTTTAACTCATATATATCGCGTTGTAAATCGTTAAAGTGTTTTGGGTAAATAAACATCCGTATCTTATTGTGCGAAACTCGTCTCTTCTCACCTTAGATCCGTCTCTTCTCTCCATCTCTTGTTCCTCTTCCAGCGTAAAAGTGTGACCCACGTGCTTGGTGCCCACCTGAAGGTCCATATGAAAGGTTTCCTTGTCCAGCCGGGTGAAGCAAATGGTAGGCGCAAACTTTTCGAAAGTTTGTATGACGTCATGCATGTCTGAAATATACATAATAGGGCAGTCAACACTGCCTTTCGGCGATTTTGCGTATTTATGTGAACATTGTAGAACTAATAAGATAAACGCTCCCTAACATAATGATCACGAGATATATGCTTTTTCATGTTCACACACAAAGAATGTACCCTTTAACACTTAGAGGACGGACCTTTGCTAGGATATTCTTCAAAAATCATAATCACCGGCCGATACACGCTTATTCGTCGTCCGCCCGATAACAGTATTATGATTCCTTTGCGCTGTATTTACGAAGAGACATCCGCAACTCACAATTCAGTAAAGATCTTATCAAAGATTCACTCACTCGAAGCTTTCACTAGCTCGTTGATGTTTTCACAGTGGGACCTTCGGTATTTCTTCCCGCAAAATGACATTATAACGCAGGAAACGGGGCGCGGCCGAAGATGGAATATGCTATGTTACACTGTATCGTGCATCACAATACGCTAAGCACTGTACCCGCGCGATAAGATTAGGAACCGCAGAGTCACTGGCCCATCGCGTCTAGAGCGTGATTCGGCAAATTTATTCTATTGTCGTGTACTGCATTCTGTGCATGGTACTAGGCTATGTTCCTTTAGCCTTAGTAGGGATTAATACAAAACTTCATCTTAAGGAGACTTTAGATTATCGCTCGTAAGGATGCAAATCAAGATCTCTTTTTAAAATTCAAACTTTATGACGACCGAAATGGGACCAAGAATTCTATTTTACACGAGTAAATAACCTCCGAACTGTGAAAAATCAAGTAACTTTCCTATAAAATTTAATGGGAAAGAGCCACACAGTCAACTTCGCTACCGACAAAACGAATGTCGAAAATCACTCTGAGCATTTGATACTGTTTTGCACAGTGCGTAAAGTCGACTGCAGACGACGCTCGTGATTCATTTCAATGATTAATATTAAATTCCGGATCTCATGAGCAACTTGACGCCGTAATCGGGTGATATAATAGGTAAACGATAGCGGTGCGTTTGCGCAGCCAATGGAACTAAGAGTCGATTTGTTGTCGACATGCGATGTAGAGATAGATCTAACTATAGGTGTCATTCTTCCTTTTTTAGTTCATAGATACCTCGATAGGTCAAAGTTGTCGGTGTTTCTCTCCTTCGCATGTGGAGCGCGCGGTGACATTGTCACATCAGTATGCGATATTACAGCAACGAACAGCGTTTCGCCTTTTTGCAACGTTAATTGATTTTTAGAGTTAAGTTCTTTAAATGTCCAGTTTCAGATTTATTGCGTCCGAAGAAATCTGTCCAAAAAGGAATTCCGTGCGATTTCGACAGACGAGAGTGACACGAAAGCTTGAAGCTCTACATAGGCCGCGGCCTTCAGGGCGGTAGGGCGGGGCGCCTATGAGGGCAGCCGGCCGCGGCGGCGCGGCCACTCGTACTCTGCTCTTCAGACTAATAAGTTTCTTCGCGCCGGAATGACAAATAGATCGTTTTAAAAATGTGGCTATGGTTTCTGTTGGGCCTCGGCTCGGTCCTCACGGCGGAGGGCGCCGGCGCGGGCGCCGCTCGACTCGTCTGCTATGTAGAAAACGCGCGAATCACCGACTTACGGGAATGCACCCACCTGGTCTATACGGGAAAAATTAGGGACGAGAAACTGGACGGAGTACTCGAAGGCTATAGAAGTCAGAACCCCAAGTTGAAGATAATCGTGCGAGTTACGACCGAGGACAAGGTATGATTTCTCTTAATACTTGTTATCGATAATGATGAAAAACGAACAAGCTCGTGCGGATTAACTTGAGAACACGACGCCCGCATTAGTCCTGCGCCCGTCTCACTTTCTTCTTGCGCAGATTTTCACGGAATTTAAATCCAAGCTTCTAACGACTAACGTTCAATTTGGAGTGCTCATTTCCAGATTAGTGTGAGCAGTTTTGACATTCGTAAAGCGGTGTTTGAGGCATTAGACCGAAGATGCTGTTAGGCAAAAAAACTTGTTTCGTTCAAGACGCAAAGAAGGAAAAAAGAAAAATTTTTTTGATATCAATCCGTTGGCGTCACTCAAACTTACAATAAAAATAAGCTTCTTAAAATGGCATAAGCGCTCTTCTGATGCGCCGCGACCCTTTTGGGGTTACATTAATCGTACCGTGTCACATGCAGGTAGTTTCACTTTAATGAGCGAAGCTTGTGAAATTCAAATCTTGTCTTATGTTTTTTTTTCTACTTCTCTTTTATCGATTACGCAATACAGGTCGGTCTGACGACGGGCCACACTGTAATAGTAAATAATTCTCAGCTGAGATCTAAATTCTACCATCGCATAATGTAGAAGATAGAACGCTATATCGGTGTGGCATAAGATAATTATAACAAACATACCTATTGCCGCCGCTTAACTCGTCTTATATTCGTTAAAATATTATTTTGGTGTATTACACCCAAAGTACTGTTCTATAAGCTACTTAGTAATAGTGCCCAAACTTTTAAAAATACAAAATATTTACGAGCTAGTCTAACAGCCAGTTAGAAGAGGTCTCTCAGGCGTAAACACTGTTTCACGGGCGTTTGGCATTAGCCTTCTGGGTGGGACTCCCCCCGCCATTCGAACCGAGACCTCTGGTGCCGACAACAACCACTGGGCCACCCTTTTCTGTTTCATATTTGTATTGTTTTATTAAGTGATAACATATATTGGTTAACATATAGTAAGTACTTAGTAAAACTTTAAAATAATTAGAATTATCGGTTTGCATGATGAAAATGAACAAAGAGAATCGAAGCCTTAGTTGGACTTTTTAAATTTTTAATATACCTTGTGTGTCAGTCTTCGGCCGTAGCATGAACATTTTCTTTTGCAAACCTCCTCATCGTTAGAAATTACAGGTGTTACCCTTCCCCGTCGTCCGCTTCCCGTGATTCTTGCGAGTTGATCTTAAAAGAGAGGCATATACTGTCGCGGATTTTTTTGATTATAAAAAAAAATATGCATATTTTTTGGATATGTTATATATATATAGTTTTCGCAGCGCATGCAACGTAACTATTTTCCTATTTTTTCCACGCTTCCCACTGTTTTTCCATTCCTATAAGTCGCAGCGTTTGTTTGATAGCCTTAATCTTAAACGAAAGACATATGCTATTGCGATATATTTAGATCACATAAAGAATAATAATCTTTCACATTTTTTGGTTTCTTACAAAGCTTTCGCAGAGCACGCGTCGGAAGCTCTCAAAAATGTATAACTTTTCTTTCTCATTTTCCACTGTTTCTTCGCTTCTATTGATCGCAGTCTACGTTTAAATATTATTTATATACATATCCTACCATTACAGATTATATAGCCTTCGTCAATGAATGGTCTATTTAACTCTTCAGCTTTAAATTTTTAGTATAGATAAACTCGAATTTTCTATTTAAGAATTTATGAAGAGGTGTTGAATGTAACAGTAATAAATATGGTCTGAGCAAAAACAAAATCTATACTAATATATAAAGGCGAAGAGTTTGTTTGTTTGTGTGTTTCAACGCGCTAATCTCAGTAACCACTGGTCCCAATAGAAAAAATATTTTTGTGATTTTGGGCATTTGTAAAAGAATTATTCCTCTTTAAAGAATCTAAAAAAATGTCCGCAACACTATAATATGCCTATCTTTAAAGATTAACTTACGGGAACGACGGGACGCGACCGTCGTCCTGAGTAACAGATTAAATTCATAAAGATAAGGAGAAGGTTTGCAAAAACAAATTTGGATGTCCAAAATAATTATTCACGCAGACGAAGTCGCTGACACAGCTAGTTACAAATATAACACGAACCCTTGACGAAGACGACCTGTCGCCTGTCGCGATTTCTTCTAGGAAACCTTTGCTCTTAATCTTCTAACTCGTCCCTCGAAGTCGATCTGAACTGAAGAGACGATTCCCGTCTGCTCCGAAGCTAGTAGAGTACATCGGGAAACGAATATATCACGCGGTGTAACGGTTTCCGCGTATACCTTACAATGCCACCGCCTGAACCGTATCGGATACAAATGTTCCTTATTCCTTGTAAAACTACATCACCATTCTGCAAGTTACTTGTACAATCAAAATTACATTTGAACTATGTTATCTTTTAACCATTATCCATTATTTATTATTATAGGTTCCATAAATCATTGTGTTTCCCTTTTATCATTTCTTCTCGGTGAGGAGGAAACTTTAGTGAAAACCGCTTCAGTTTAGCTTGTAGTGCAATCGGGTAGTGTATTTATTTTGTTTATCCTTGTTTATAAAATAATTCGAATTACAGTAAACATAGAAAACATACAGTACAGTACACAGTGTCGGTGTACATTATAATTAGTGGACATGTAGAGCAGCATTGACTATGATAATATCATAAATAATATCGACGTAATGCGTAAAGGGCACTTGCATGGGTGCGGCCGATTCGTAATAACATATACATAATCTAGATCACAGTTGGCCGACGATTGCGGCGCCTGAGCCGAGGTGTGCCTGAACTCAAGGTGATCCATGAAATATTAATTAAGCGAACTTCAAACTTCTCTTTATATATAGACTTTCTCTTTATATATAGGCTTTGAAGTCGATGAGGGGTAACTTTCGGCTTCACCAATCACCACCATACATTAATAATTTCATATATATCGTTTTGTGTATGACCTGGGAGTTACTAAGTATCTTTTATTTTTTTACAAAATATGTCAAATGAGTGTTGCCACATTGCACACGATTGCGCAAGACAAGTTACATTAGTGTTCAAGTTATTTCAGCCAAAGTTGGTCAAATACTCTGTTGTTATGCATAGCCTATACGGTCTTCAAGTAATTTCCCCCCTTTTTTTCATAAATATCAATTCTCGAATAAACTAACAGACAATAGCATAGACAGTAAAAAAACTGTTTCTTCTCCACCTACAAACGTTAAGGCCCTTCCCGAATACAAAAATTCTTGAATTTAAAAATTACTTTTCATCGATTTTATTAAGAATTGTAAGGGATGAAAATGGAGTGTAAGTAACGGGAACGAATTCCCTGGGAGTAACCAGAGAGTCTAAACGTAATTTTGTAAACTTGAAACTAAACCGTGAGGTCAACATTTAATATTGCTGATTGTCCACTTTTCTTCCACAATGGACAACATAGACTTGCGAAGCCTGCTTCGTGAACTAAATAACTCTCAGTGTCTCAGTGCGCCTATAATTTCGTAAACGTACATTTTAATTTCTAGATGATAATACACCCTGCTCGATATGTCAAACGTCTTTGTGTTAACACATAGGTATATTGCGCACGTGTGCTCTCGCAGGTCGGATCGGGGGCAGCGGATTAAGCGAAGGCAGGTTTACTGATAAGGTCCATGTTTGCGCAATTCACTAACGTATAGCGCTGAGGTGTTCGACTATATTTGGGACTACTTGTTAATATCTACTTGTCCCTGATAATGTAACTACCGAACCGATTGCCACTGCGTTTCGTATATATAAGATATATTATCGGTCGACGTCCTTTTGACGTGACGTAACGTAACCTACTTACTTACTTACTCCGCTGGCGCAGCGGCCCAAAGTGGGTCTTGGCCTCCACAACAAGAGAACACCACTTCCGCCGATCCTGCGTCACGGATCGCCACTCGGAGACACCGAGTTCCACCAGGTCAAGGGTTTCGTATGCCCTAGGAGGGCCAAGTCATCGGCGTATCCATTCACCTTACATGTTCTAGTGCGAGATTAAACAGCATTATCCTTAGCGCATCTCCTTGTTTGAGCCGAACTCTGCCGAAGCCGAACTCTTCTGTTAGACTCTCTAACCTGACGCGCATCCTCCTGGTTTTTGTAGCAACTTTCAGTAGTGTAATGAGTTTTTCGGGGATTCTAAAATCGACGAGTATGGAATAGAGCGATTCTCTGTCAATGCTGTCGTAGGCTTTGCAAAAATCCACAAAAATTGAGTGTATACCCTGGGCGTACTCCCATTTTTCCTCAATCAGTTGCTTCAGAAAAAAAATTTGGCCAACTGTGCTGCGATTTCCTCTAAACCCACACTGATAATCAGCTATGATTTGTACCGCATAAGGTTCGAATCGATCCAAGAGTATAACACGGCTATTCCTCGGTAGTTAGCGCAAATCTTTTTGCAGCCTTTTTTGTGGACAGGACATATGATACCCACATTCCATTGACCAAACCTTGCGCAGCAACGGGAAGAGTACTAGCTGCATGGTCCTGGCGCTGGTCCTGGTCATGGCGCCATATTTCCAAACTTCCGCGGGTATACCGTCTATGCCAGGAGCTTTACAATTAAATACTGTCATAGTTTACGCGAGTAGTACACATTTAAATAAAACACTTTAACGGTTTAAAACGCGATATATTAGTTAAACTTATTTGAAAATGATTTTTAACTTCGGCCCGACGTTTCGGATCTTTGCAGCAGCCGTGGTCAGGGGAGACTAAAGATGGAGGATGTCTCAGACGTCAAAGTAAAGAATTGCTACGCTAGCGCCATCTGTTCCGTCGAAGTTGGTATTTGGCGAAACTGGCCGGGTCCTTACAGAATTGACTAACGGTGTTTGCGTTTGCTGGTATGCTGTTTATTGGGATCAGAGTTTTTAATATGGGATCCGGGTGAAGTTTGAGGCGTCCTCCCAGAAATTTGGTGTTTTTGTTGAATTTGATTTCAATCGAAAGGAGAGTGATTTTTTCAAGATTGGTAGCGAAGCAATTGAAATCAAAAAACACCGAAATTTAATAGGGAGGACGGCAGCATACAGAACGCATTAGAATCTAAGGACCCGAGTTTCGCCAAATACATTCGACGGAAAGATGGTAGCGTAGCATTTTCTTGATGAAATCCTCCATTTTATCTCCCCGTGACACGGCTGCTGCAAAGCATCCGAAATGGGCCGAAGTTAAAAATCATTTTCAAATAAGTTTAACTAATATATCGCGTTTTAAACCGTTAAAGTGTTTTATTTAAAAGCTTTACAATTCTTTAGCCTCCTTATCGCTTTCGACGTAACGTAACCATTACATTAAAATGTATGTCGTTTTAATTTGTAGGTTAATGTGCTCAGGTGGAGTCTAGACGACTATGTTTATCTATTAAAACCAATTTTCGGTATTAATTTGAATCGCTTGCTCTAAATATGTACAACATTTAAATAATGAACCTATAAAAGATGATTAGGAAATTGTCTTCTTATGCAAGTAGTCTCAGCGTTAAGAGAAAAACCAGTTGTCTAGTGATGCACCGTGCATTTAAAAAAATCGAATTTGACCAAGGAGGCTGTCCTAATTTTATCTATTTATTTGGACCTAATAGGTTTTGGGTCACTAAACCAAAATTATGAAGTCAAAATATAGAATTGGCTAGCGAGACAAAAGTTAAATAATTCCTAGTCATAAAAATATTTATATAAAAATCTCGTTTTGACTTGTTAAAATAGTTTTATTTCAAGATCGTTTTTGTCAATGGCACGTTACAGTTACGTTTGCATACATAAATAGACAAAACATCAACACGTTTTAAATAATGTTGAAATCTATTTAAATAAATAGCTCATAAAATAACTTTGATTTCGGTTTTATGTAACTTAATTTAAACACGTCGCAACGAGCTCCTTAATCAATGATTCGAAAAGGAAAAAAGACGTCATATTTTCTGAAAATTACTTAAAATTAGTACAGCTTCCAAAATGTAGTACAAAAAAGCAAAGGTCACGTTTGAGGCCGGTTTTCCGTGGCCTCGTTCTAGCTTCGCTAAACTGTCTCTGGTGCTCAAGGGTCGTGTTCTGTTGAGAGACTCACCGCACGGTCAGCGGGGCTAACTAACGTCGGGCCGAAGTTAAAAATCATTTTCAAATAAGTTTAACTAATATATCGCGTTTTAAACCGTTAAAGTGTTTTATTTAAATGTGTACTACTCGCGTAAACTATAGACAGTATACTAAATAAAGTTTATTTTTAAGAAAATAATTTTTACATTTCTCGTTTCAGGATTATAAGACAGTCTTGAAGTCAAAATACATCCAAGGTCTCGAGGTATACAACGCTCACGAGACCTTCGACCGCAGCAAAGTCTCGGAGCTGGTGAAGGCGGCACGCAGCGCTATATCCTCCGCTAGCAAAGGTCCTCTTCTATTGGCTTTACCTGCACACCCCGAGCTCCTCGCAAAGTATTATGATTTGAGGGAATTGGTTAAAGTGGCAGATCTGATGATGGTCCAAACCCACGCTTTGGGTGTCGTGAAGAAAATGACGTATCACCCGAGCCGTTTGAGTGGCTTATGGGACATGATGAATACGGTAAATACATATTATTTTTACACTGACACTTCACAACGAGACACTTTATCATTAAATCTTGTTCAAAAATAAGAAGTCGTGCTCGATCTCAATATATCTAGGCGTTCGGGTTGAAGATGACTATTTTAGGACATTTCCTTGACTTTTAAAACTATGCTGCATCCTAATAGGTCAGTCTAATTGATATTCCGCCGTCGTATTAAAAAGTATGTGGAGTGAGAGTTGCCAAATATTATTTAATTTTGATTAAAGCTAATCCTGCTTTTTCGAGCGTGTGATGTCTAAGCTCTATAATAATTTCTAAAGGACCGCGGCAGAAGTGAAGGTAAACGTCTTTAAGAAAAATTACAACCGTCCGCCGACCGTTCAGCTCTAAATGCACTTTAACGCCAGGGTGATAAGGATATTTTTACGAACGTTCAGGTCTCGATTGCACGTTTTAGGAATCTAGGCCACCGAACAGGTGCATCTGTCTCGTGCAATTTCTCACATGTTTAATGGGCCTAGCTCTGTTTTCAATAAAAAGAATTGACATCCGTAAAAAACCATTTAGCCAACTTGTATCCACTTATCATTTACTTTAGTTATTTTCTTTTAAATTTAAAATATGCTTGTGCCTTAGTCATGATGGTGAAGGTATTGTCTACATATCCCTTTTAAAGCCTAAACACAGGGTGAAACTGGGAGATCTCATCTATTCGAACATAGAAATCCCCATTCCAAATAAGGTAATCCATAGTTGAGCGATTTTCTATCTGCATATTCTATAGGCATGTTGTTTTAAAACTTTGTTCTGTTGCTACCTTGAAACCTTTAAGAGTTTCCATGAATTAGTAAGAATCCCTGACTTAAGCATTTGTGTTTCCCCTGAGTGAAGCAAGTGTTCTTGATAAGCATTTGGCTAACTCATATGTGGGCGAATCTATTTTACTTACTATTGGGTGTAAGGGCTTGCTTAATTTGTGTCTTTATAGTAACCCTTAAGTGATATTATTTACTTTCCTTCAGCCAAAGACGACACTCGATCGATTGTGTAATGCTTAGAAAAATATGTGTCAACAAATTGACTTGCTCTGAACTTCTTGAGCTTATACCATTTAACGTACCAGTCAGGCCTCTACGCGTGCACAGAAAATTCAACCTTCCTACTCCTAGAACCAATATTGGATTCCGCACGCCACTCCACAGAATGTATTCTTCCCTCGATTATTTTGCCGATATCGATTTGTTTTTGCACTCCTCTACTGCTTCAAAAAAAACATTTAAAAGATTGCTTACCTCGCCTTAGGTCTTTCAATTTAATTATGTTTGTGTTAGTTAGGTTGTAGTTAAAACGTATAATTAATTTTATTTGTTTGTCAACTCTTATATAAAATTTGTCTAATTTCCTGTAATTTTGATCGATATTTTGTTTTTTCTTATTGTACATAACATTTAACTATTTTTGAAACTGTTAAGGATGCCTTTTTAACCTTAATTTTCTATTGTTATTCCTTAGCTGCTTATGTGATGTATCTGTTAGTTTCCTTTTGCTAAATAAATAAAACCGTACATTTTAGGTGGTATCTTTTGTTTGTAATCTAAAATATGAATCACGACCGTGGCGTTTCCTTTGTCAACGCAAAGTACTATAATATCCTCGTTCGCTTACAATTGTTTCAGAGCAGCCTTTTCCGTTAAGGAAAGATTGTGTTTAGGCTTGCTGGAGCGTGGAATACTCCTATCCTATATATATCCTGCTTCCGCATCTTCCTTAGGGATAAAATTTTTAAAAATAGTCGTCAAGCTGATTATCCCTTCGCAAGCTATTTTTCGCCGCGCCGGAGCAAAATTTACATTAATTTTTTTGCCTGTTTTGTTTACGTGTTGCATATTTATTAAAGGCTCTGTTTGTTTAACTGATATATTTCGCGTTCTGAACCGTTAAAGTGTTTCATTTAAATGACACAGAAAATGTTATTATTTTATATTATGTATTATTTAAACATGAAATGAATGAATGAATAATGGCATAATTGGACCTGCTTTAAACAACAATTGTAATAACACACAGATATTATAAAAAAAACTCGTCCAGTAAAATTTTATTGTGGTTCCGAAATCCAACATTTGCATATGTGTTGCATTTTTCGCCTTTTAAGTTGTTAACGCATAAATAACTCTTAGGGTCCTAGATAACTAAGAGACAATACCGTTTGTTTACAGGATTCAGTCGTAGACTTAATTATTGGTTTAGGCGTCCCAGCCTCCAAAATAGTGGTAAGTCTACCCGCGACGGTGCGCCGGTTCTCTCTACAGAACGAAACCCTCAGTACCCCGGGCAGTCCAACACGGGATGAGGAACCTCGAGAGATGGATCAGTCCGAGTTGTGCCGGACCTTGCAAAAGGGGCGCTGGACGCTCGAGCGAGACCAGGATTTGTCAGCGCCTTACGCTTTTCAGTGAGCAAATTTTATTTGTACTGTTTCTCAAGATTTTGTCTTTTAGAAAACATTTATATTCTTACACGTTATTGCACATAGCATTATATTCGACACAGGCAGGACTTGAACCACATCTACAGAGTTCCGTGCCGTTGCTCTAACCAATTGAGCTACCGTGTCCTGAAACATATTTACTAGTGATGTAACGGATAGTTGTTTGGCCGGATACCGAATACCGGATATTCGGTCTCATCGCCGCCTTATTTGGCGGCGAGCGCGTCGTGCAGGTTTCAACCGGTTACGTATTTGTGCTAACTTTTTGACATGCCCTCAAAAAAAAAAAGTGAATAAAATAACAACAATATCATTTTAGCGACTATCTATACGAGATGGAATTATTTACAGGAACCTGACCTGGATTTCATTCGAAGATGCGTCCTCGGTGGACGTAAAGGGAAAATATGCACGCGTTCGAGGCTTGGCTGGATTAGCTCTGGTGGACGCCGATCGGGATGAGGATACACTATGTGGCTTTTCACTCAGGAGAATCCTACACAAAGTGCTCAACCAACAAAGTAGAGCGCCCAGAGCTGCCGTGCTTCGGTAAGCCGATACTTACATATTGCACTGACATTTGTTGTTTCATCTATATCTATACTAATAATAAAGTTGAAGAGTTTGTTTGTTTGTTTGGACGCGCTAATCTCCGGAACTACTGGTTCGAATTGAAAAAATATTTTTGTTGATTGATCGAGGTAGGCTGTATAAAACATCGCGCTGTGACTAATAGGAGCGAAAACACAGCGGGAAATGTGAACAAAACGGGGAATTTTTTTTAATCTTTATGTTCTTACGAATTACGATGCGTGCGCTGCGAAAACGGTTCAAGATACTCAAAAAATATGTATGAAAGAATGATTCCTCTTTAAACGATCTAAAAAAAGGTCCACGTCGCTATATGTCTATCTTTCAAGATTAACTTGTAAGAACGACGGGAAGGGACGCGACCGACATCGTGGGTAACAGCTTAAGTTTTTAAATACCGAATTTGGATGACCGAAATAAATATTCTTAGCGGATGAAGTCGCTCAGTCGCCCATCTAGTTGATTCATCATTGCTGTTTGACAAATCCCTTCATGCGTGATTCTCGACTGGGACTTGCCCGGGCTTATTCATGAATATTATTGTACCATTGTTTAAGAAAACGTATACATACTTCAATATGTAATATAACTAAGTAAAGTTATTATGAATTATAGGTCCCTGGAAAACGAGATACTTTCAGCCGGCTCAGCCGAGGGGCGGGTTTTGGACGCACTTCAGGTCTCGCCTTACCGCATCACACAAGTTGTCGACTCAGACGGTGTTATTCACAGCATTCGAGAGGTATTCAATATTTTAAGCTTTCCTTTTGATTCTATCGCAAAAAACTATTGTGGCATGTATTTTTTAGAAACTTTACGTTTACTAAGTACACCTTTTACGAAATGTTCGCTTTTTTGTAGACCCCTTCAAACGAGAGGTTTTATTGATTTGCACAACGCTGAAAATTGCGTTAGTAGGTATAAATGTTAGGAACAATAATTACTATTAGTTTAAACTGTGCCAAAATATAAGTGAGACATCTTTGTGAATCATAAGATTATCTATACTTACTAATATATAGAGCTGAAGAGTTGGTTTGTTTGTTTGAACGCGATAGTCACAGGAACTACTGGTTCAAATTGATAATTTCTTTTTCTATCGGTTAGAGAGAAAACAATGGGGAAAATTATTCATTATTGTGGGTTTCTGAGAGGCTGCTAACTATTTGTTATGTTCTCTTTACTGTTGTTGTATCTGTTTCCAAAGTGGCTTTGTGGTGTGTACGTTTCTATAAATGTTGTATTATTAACTAAGCTGGAGGTCCCCTATTATTACTGATATTACATGTCATATAAACCCGTAGATATTAGTTAAATTATTGACGCGACTTGATTTCAGGACACCAGGACGGAATTCTCGTGTTCACGCCAGGGTTACTTCGTCCATCCACGGTCTTGTGCGCGCTTTTACCGTTGCGTGAAGTTTGATCAATATTCACCTGATTTCACTGTTAGTATTTATTTAATAATTATAAATGAAACTATGTTTTTATGCTGTAATCAAAATGAAAATCCAGCACCATTTCATCAGATACTAAGTGTCGTGTTGTCTTATCGACTACAGGTGTTCGAGTTCGATTGTCCCGTGGGATTGGCTTTCGACGCTCGCTATGAAGTGTGCGTCTGGCCCGGGTCTCTGCCGGACACCGGCACCTGTCCCGGAACGGCCGAGATCGCCCCGGTCCCTGCCACTAGATTTATATGTCCTACAGAAGAAGGTTATTGTTACACATTTCTAGATCCATTGCGTATTAATGTGGTGGTGGTTAAAGGTGTGTGAATTATTTAAACTAAGAACGTTCTTTATTTACAGGTTTTTATGTAGATCCAGAAAACTGCCGCTGGTTCTTTGCCTGCCTAGACCACGGCAAGTCACCGCTGACCGCGTACGAGTTTCGATGTCCTTTCGGTCTCGGATTCGATGCCGCGCGTCTGCGATGCGATTGGCCATGGCTCGTGCCCGCTTGCGGAAATATTGGAAGATACGAGGCGGAAGCGTTTGGCCTTTCTACTGCTGCACTAACAGGTACTCGAGTCGTTGAGAAATTATCATCGGTAATAATTATATGAAATATTCAAGAGACTAAAGCTTACTTTTTTTGTTTTCAGGAGCCACGGGGTTTCAGGGTAGGACGGCAAACGCAGTAAATATTGCGGCGCACCAAAATCTAGTTTCCGGTGCCGCAGTCGGGAATTTAGTTGGCGTTCGAAATGGCTTTTTAGACAAGCACGACGCTCTCGATGCTAACTTTATAGCGACTCAGGAAGTAGACGATTTTAGGAACTACCAACTCGATTATTCCAACCTCGGCAGCCAAGGGGAATCGAGCGGCGTGTCTTATAAGGTTGTAGCGGCCGATGCCATTAACAAGGGTCTAGTTCAAGCGACTAATTATGATGATGATAAAGAATACACGAGTGGATCTATCATACTCGACGATTACAGACTCCCAACGGGGAAAAAGTTATCAGGGAATTACAATCAAGCTTCTCGTGAGGCGGCTGCTACTATTTCGGCTAACCTTCAATATGACTCTGGGAAATATAAGGGTAACGACGCTTCCTCCGCAGCGTCTTACTCGTTTCGTCAAGTTCCCTCTAATTTAAGAAGTGGTGCGTATCGGAAAGACTATCGTGGGGCGTACGTTCACAATCCGATAGGTGATCGCGCAAAACCTTACCAACATATCGAAGTACCGCCTGTGCCTTATGAACACCTCGACATTAACAGTAAAGACTACTTTAATTTTGACAAGGGAACGTACGTCGGATCTCACGAACAGGACTCTACGAAAAGTAACGGATACGATTATCCAAAGCCTGGTGTCCAATTTCATGAGGGCTTCGAGTCTCACCCCTATACTGTGAATAACGAGTTTTTGTCCCAAACTCAATCATCGGGCACCTATCGCGGCTCTTATGGAACTGGTGGTATCGCAACATACGTCACCGATGATAAAGTTTATCCTGGTGCACCTCACACCTTAACAGCCGGTGCTGTCAATGTCGGTTTTGTTGGAAAAACTACATTAGTTGATGATGCGAATCGGTTTACTTTTGAGCACCACGTACCAAAACCGGTTGTGACAGTTACACACGTTGGAACCGATAGTGGGAACCTCGATGGATACGGCTATCTTACCACTCCAGCTTCTGCAATAGAAGTTACAACTTCTTCACCGATCACCTTAAGAACTACATACGAACCTCAAACTCCGAAGACTAGTGTGAAACAAATATTTACTCAGACTCAACCTGCGATTACATACGTTGAACCGAAGATCGTCGCAGTGACGCCTAATGTAGAAGTTGCAGGCTTCAATACTATCCATAACTACGAAAACACATACTCTAATGCTAGGACAGAAGCTGGTGAAGTGGAATCTAAAGGTTACAGTTATGCTAGGCCGAGCGTTAGTTTCGAAGACGGCTTTACGTATTCCACTACGCCGGCTGCAGTTGTAGTGACCAAACTGAGACCAAAAAGTTTCTCACACAACCGACTGACTCTTCATTCACATACTGGAATTTCGGAATCGTCCACACCTGTGCCCGTCACTGAGGAACCCTTTAAGCGAATAGTCGCGTATACGACAGGAGACGGTTATGTTCTGCCAACGAGCCAATCGCACAGCCAACAGAGTATACGTAAAACTTACGAGAGACCAACTCCGCCAGCCGTAACTTTCGTACCGGTAGTGGAAACTATCCAACACACCAGTAAAACTCCTAAAGTCAGTCATATAAGCAATAACCTCTATAAGCAATTTAGCACTCCAGTCCGAGTTGAGGCACATATACAGCACCTTACTCCTGAGTTTGATTATAGCGCAGGAACATCTTTTGTCGCTTCATCGACCGAGCGTGTTACGGAGACTACGGCGAGGACTATTTATGAAAATCCTCTTTTAAAGTATACCGTAAAAGCTACCCCAGAAACCGACCAACACTTGTATACACTCCAAGCCTCCCCTGTATCTTCTTATCACACACACTTCAATAGCGAAAAAATATTGCACGATAACCAACGTTTTGGTTATGATTATTCACGGCCTTCTGTAAAATTCGATGAAACTGGAATTAAGGTCCCATTTTCAGAATCAACGGAACAGCCGCTGTCGTACAGTCATGAGAGTATACTTAGAAGCTCTGGTAATACAAACTCTGGTTTTTATGAAAATCCACCTACAGTGTCAGTTCAATCACCTATTATAGCCTTTGAAACTAGCGACATCTATTTACAACCATTGATTAAGACAGCGACGTCCGCGGCTGAACCAATTCGTGTTTCTACAGAGCGACCAAAACTATACAATCAGAACACGATTACACAAAGTACCGAGGGAACTAGTGTTATTTTACCACATGAAACTCAGGTGCACAAAGAAAACTCACAAGCATATGAGACGGGATACGAATATTCACAGCCTGGAGTAACCTTTAGGGAATCAGAAAGGGACTCAATAAAAGCTCCAGTTTTGGTTTCCGTCGCAGGACCCCAATCGCATAGTCAACAAACATTCCATACAGTTGAAAAACAAACAATTTCATCTCCAATACCTAGCGCCGAATTAACGTATCTTAAACCGGCCGTCACAGTTTTCGAAGAGCCAAGATTGAATTACAGCCAACCATCGACTGTCATCGACGTTAGGCCCGACGAATACGCACAAATAAGCCAATCCACACAATATGTCACGGGCGATTATGGCGATCAAAAAACACAAAATAACCTCGACTACTCTTATGATCAGCCCGAAATACAAAGAAACGTACACATATCTAGCATCCCAACTTATTCGGCTGCAAATGTTGTATCTCACCAATATTTCTCGCAAACGCAAAGGGACACCCGGCCGGAAAAGGTCTTCGTGTCGACTACTCCATCTTCTTTAATTTACGAAGATCACTATTCGGAATACGAAGCGCCTAAACAGGGCCAGTCTTTCAATTCAAAACACATTGCATCAATCCCACGTGAGTATTATAGTGTTTCTACTACTCCAACGCCTCTGCAAGAACAGAAATACAATGCTGAATATGGGCGGGAATCGTTAGCGAAACTACAACATCCCGAAGCCCCTGAAATACAGGTATCTTATAATGCAGAGGAGTACATACCACCGAAAGAATTCGTCGCTATCCCTGCGGTCTCCTCTACTCCAAGATCCTATACGAATAATCCGACACGTGACTACTTGCCACCTGATTTGCAGTCCCAATACCATACTCCTGAATATGAATCCTCCACAAAGAGTGATTTCTTTGTAACCCGCACCGAAAAACAAGATTCTTTAGAATATCTGCCACCAGCCCAAAAATCTTTATCCCATGTAATTAGTTTTGACAGCTTTGGCTACGATGCTGGAAAAGAAGCTAGTTCTGCAAACAGAAAGCTAGTGAAACAACAACAAGAGTATTTAGACGTTACTACCGAAGAATACGTCTTATCATCGACCGCACCGCTTCAAAGGAAACCGAATATTGTTGTTGAAAAGGCTAAATCCAATATATTAGGTTTTGGCACCGTCGGTCCAGATGCTGGTTTAGTTTCTACCTACACTACTTCACAAGCCCCAACAACTGTAGAATTTCTATTATCTACTACATCAAAAGCAGTCGAAATTACTCAACCGACGCGAAGAACCCGACCAAAATATTCTAGGCCAACTGAGAAAATTGTCAGTGCAACGCGTGCGTACGAGAGTACGACATATCAGGCTCCTGAATATTTACCGCCATCTGGTACGATTCCAAGTGAATTGAACAAATTTGATTCTTTATTATTGGCCAAGAATAATCCTTACGAAAGTCGCTTGCCCGATGGATACAAAGAAAGTTCTACATCTACGCCGTCATATAAAAGAAAGCAGAATATTGTCGTAGAGATAGCAAAATCTAATTCATTTATGCTCGACACAGACGTAGTAACTCCTTCTATTGACGCGGTGACGGTTACTCCTATCACATCGACGTCAGCATCTCATACACGAGACTTCGACGAGATAACGTCTGCCCGACTGCCGATAAGGCGGACGAGACCAAAAATAGCAGTCGTTACGAAAGTTAATGATTTTAATCCTCTACTAGTGCGAAAATTAGGCGCAGTATGCAGTTGTCAATCTCCAGTTTTAGTACTCAAAGGTAGAAGACCTACGGCACAAACACAGACTGTGGCAGACGATAGTGGCGAAGAGGATGTGCCTCGAGGAGATGTTGAAGAAACTTTCCGCACGGTAACAACTACACCCACTGTTACTCCGACGCTCAATCCAATCATAGTTCCCGATGATTCATTTTATCAAGAGTATCAAGAAGCCCCTAACGATGATATTATTGTCACACCTGGTAGAGGCCGCGCCGAGAACTATGTCTCGAGCACACCAATAGTTTCGACAACTAAAAAGCTTGTAAAAGTTAGACCCGGACTCAAATCTGTAACGGCACCGCCAACGCATGAAGCGATACTATTGAACCGACATGTTTCGCCAGAGATCTCTGAAATCGTAGAAACGGCGAAGATAGATACCCAATCGTTCGATCGGTACGGTCCGGGGGGGTGGAGAAGCAGAGACGAAACGTTGCAGGGTTCCATAGATTGTCAGCGAGTGGGTCTTTTCAGACACCCAAAGCAATGTAACAAATTCTACGCGTGCAGGTGGGACTGCACCAAGCAAAGATTCACTCTGCACGTGTTCAACTGTCCCGTTCAACTAAGTTTCGACCCCAACATTGGCGCTTGTAATTGGCCGAGTCAGGGTCCTGCGTGCCAAGGCGACACTCTCCTCGCGAACTCTCTGTAGATTGACCTCAAAAATCTGAAACGGTTGGATCTCGACGTGCCATCAAAATAAGAATTTTGTATTTGAATCATATTGATTGCTACTGAATGTTATTCCTAGCGATGGAGCTGAATCTCGTTCTCTCTTCGTCTTCGATTTAGTTCTTAAGATTATTTATTTGTTTCGTTTTATGGTAATTCATGTTTATTTATTGTTCATTTTCTTTCAAGTGTGCTTTTCCGATTCATTACCTCGAAATTCGAACCTAGTTACCGGTTTCTAGTTCATTTAGATATAACGACGTGTACCTACTATTAAGTGAAATTATGTTTATAAATGCTCTGTAATGTAAATAAATCATTTTTTTATTCATATCTTATTGTTTGATCCTTATCTCCGAGAAATCTAAATGTTTAATGTGACCGGCTTCTCCACTTCTGCGAGCGATTCTTTATACTTTGCGAGGACGGGGTGCACTTCTTCTTCGATAAATTCAGTCACTTGTTCGGGGGCGCGGCCGATGAACGTAGACGCGTCTAAGATTTTATGCAACTGGGGTATAATCGGACTAAAATAGCCATCCTTTTTTACGCGTTCGATCAAGTCGTTGTCTTTGCCTTCGCGTTTCACTACGGCGCCGGCCTCGTGAGAAAGAACTCTGATTTTCTCATGGCAGACTTGACGGTCACCCCCGGCTTGCACCATTGCCATTATAATATTTTCCGTGGCCATGAAGGGCAATTCTTGATCGATATGTCTAGCGATGACCTTCGGATAGACGACCAGTCCTTGAACGATGTTCAACAAGGTCAGCAAAGCAGCATCGGCAGTGAGAAAGGCTTCAGCAAGTGTTAGGCGACGATTCGCCGAATCGTCCAAAGTGCGCTCGAGCCACTGCACCGCGTGAGTGTTGGCCGCGTTGGCGTGGAGGGTGATCAAGTGTCGAGCGAGGGCGCAGCAACGTTCGGATCGCATGGGATTACGCTTGTAGGGCATCGCACTAGATCCTATCTGTGAAGCTTCGAAGGGCTCCTCTAGTTCTTTCCGGGAGGCCAGAATGCGGATGTCGGAGCACATTTTGTGCACTGTAGCGCCCAATCCCGACAGAGCGGAGATCACTTCTAGATCGACCTTGCGCGAGTAAGTTTGGCCCGTGACCAGATATCTCTTGTCGAACCCGGCTAACTCGGCCACTCTTTTATCGAGGGCTCGGACTTTAGCGCTATCTCCGTCGAACAGTTGCATAAAAGAAGCTTGGGTACCGGTAGTACCCTTAACGCCTCTGAAGCGAAGGTCGTCTCTGGCGCGAGACAGAGCTCGTTCGTCCATTAGCAAATCGCTCAACCACAGGGACGCTCGTTTACCGACAGTGGTCAGTTGTGCCGGCTGAAGGTGGGTGAAGCCGAGCATCGGAATCGATCTGAAAATATAAGAAAAATAAGCATTTAGCTTAAAATATACAATTGCATATTGTAGCATATAATTTGCAGTCCAATTATGAGAACGTACTTGTTTTGTTCAGCAAACTGTGCCAATCGGCTGATGATAGCGACCAAACGGGGCAAAAGCAAGTCCAGGCCATGTTTCAGGACGATCAGGTCCGTGTTGTCCCCCACGTAGCAGGAGGTGGCGCCGAGGTGAATGATCGGTGCGGCTTTGGGGCAGCGTTCAGCTAATGTGTGAACGTGTGCCATTACATCGTGACGAACTTGTCTCTCGTGCTCGGCTGCGGATGCGAAATCTATATCATGTATAGCCGATTCCAATTCTGCGATCTGCTCATTAGATATATCAAGACCGAGTTCCTGAAAGGCAGAGATTAAACAATCAGCGATCAAAATACAAATAAGGTTGCCTCGACAATGATAATATTGCCTAACTATAGATTGTGGTATGTTTTTGTAATACGAAAAACATAGCGTAAGTTAATTATAGTCACATTAAAAAAAGTTAAAAAACTAAAAGGACAGTGCAGCGTGCCCTACTAGTTCACTGAAGACGATAAGATTAGACTAGCACCACTGATAACACCTGATAAGTGCAATTACACAGTGACTATTCGCCAGCGAACAATAACGCACAAAAAGTTTTCGGCTAATACAAAAAGAAGAAGAACTAAGTGTTTCTAATATTAATAGTGATCCGAGCCATCATGGTGTCCGTCCAAACCATTGCCACCATCGTGGTGAAAGCATTTAAAATTGTAAGTAATACGTGAGTGGTCGTCGCGAGTTTAACGATAAGTTGGCCTAAATACGTCCTTCACAGACGATGTGGCGCAGTACGAGGCTTCAAAACGATTAGAAAGATGTTTGTACATCGATCGGCAAACTAAACTACAACGAGTCCCGAATATCTGTCTGATGAAGATCCCCGTGTTGAGCGCCATTGAGAAGACAGGTCCATATTGTGACACATAGCCGAACGATGAGTAATGCGCCGTGAATCATATTCGCGGATCGCGATGACCGGCGGCAAATGGATCGCGGTCAACTGGCGCTAACCTGAACTAATCAATCGGATTATTGATTAATCATTCTTGTGCCTCATTAGGCAGTTGGTGATAATTTTGCGTTTTTCTTAACAATGCACATGAATATGATATATTAATTGTTGGGGCGATTGAAAACAGTAGGTATTAGAAATGTGAGAAATAGAATTGACACAGTAAAAACGGAAAGGTGCAACCTGCGATTAAAATAATCATCAAACGGGACAGCCTACTCTGGGCCTCTTCTACGTATCACTGTCCTTCTTAATGAGTAATAGTTATCCACCTGAGTTCTTGTGGATCGACTGTTTCAATGACGCACACCCGTTGCGTGTCCTATTTCTTTTGTTTTCATTAAACCACCGTTGATAAGCCTCGCCCTTGTTATCTGGTTATAAAATTGATAAAGACTGCGAACTTATTCAAGATAGCCAGAACTTAAAACATGTACAACAGAACTTTAAACTAACAGCCATAATACCTATATTCATTTTACGGTTGAAATGCGAATACTATTCGTTACCCTTTTTTTATATAACTTTCAAACGGCATGCAAAACTAGACCTCCTTCTAACATCACTCTTCTTCTACATAATCCGGGCCAGTCTCAACCGATTGCCTTTTATTCCCTAATTGTAGTTATACGTATATTGAAAAATGTATATAAAAAGGCAAATTAAAAAATGAATAAATGGCACATTATTCAAATTCAAATTCTTCATGCTCGCCTTAAATAAACTACAGAGATCTATAAATGATATATCAAAATGGTAAGAATAGAGATGCGAGAATAAAATTATACTCGACAAGAGCAATGAGACCTCTCGCTTCGCATTTGCAATAATGCTGCACAAAGTCTCTACTCCACGCGGACGAAGTCGTCGGCACACCTAGCAATCAAATTATTTTATAATTAAGATAAGTTATAACGTTATGTATAGCTCTTTCACTTTATATGTAAGAAGAAGGTTAATACCAGAGTTAATTATGTTTAAGTGCAAAATGTATTCCTTAATCTACGTTTACCGCCGCATTTTTCAAAGTTTAAACTACAGTCCCTAGACCGACGACTTAACGGGAGTTAAGATAAGGACAGTTAGGCTTAAACTTGGAAATAACAATAGCCTAGTATTAGATACACCTTAGTTTATACGTGTGAAACGCAAAACACGTTTGCGAGGAGCAACACGTGCAACGCACATGGGCAGCGACCACGGATGTATTAATGCGAGATTCCAATCTCGTCTTCTTGTCTTCCTGTCTCATCGTATAATTTATAATTGCTCCCTATTATTGCCTAACGAATAATTTATTACCAGCTGTAGGCTCGACAATAGATTTAAGCAGACTTCGAGATGACTACGTCTGACCATTTTTACAATACTAATGTTTTTGAGACTATGAAAGCAGAAAAGAGTTCCTTTAATTTTAGTTTAGCCAAGGCCAAAGCCTTGACAAGACATAGTGAATTGCAATAGCCGCGACAGACATTAACGAAATTAGTGTTTAACATCTTTTATATGTAATGTGTTTGATGAATTATCGGGAGCGATCGGTCCTCGTTTGACTTGCTTGGTCCCAAAAATCGACTTTCGATCGTGGCTACTTCTTAGTATGCAGTTTCTTCCTAATAACTCTGCCATAAAATTTTAGGTCCTCAACCTAGTGATACTCGTGCTGTACCGCACCGGATACAATGGAGAATTCCTCGGAGTGGGAGGCACGTGGAACTTGAACGAGGAAAAGAATCCCGACGCGGAGATAGTCGCTTCGGGCGTCATCGTGGGCTATCTCATCTACACGCTTGTGCAAATCGTCACTTTTCTTTTTGGCACCACTGAGCATAAGAGGTAATGTGCGGCACTGGTGTCGGTTGTCTTTCTGTCTTTGAGTTGATGATGACGATGATGAGGGATGTAACTCTATTTTCTGAGGTACTCTGCTTTCCCACTTCGTTTAAAATGTTTAAGTAGCATTTCTAACCGCACTTTTGGAATATTCGATTATTGTTTTCAGAGCTCTGTCTGAAATCGTGATGAACTTCGTCGGTGTGTTCCTGTGGATAGCAGTGGGAGCAGTGGCACTGCACTACTGGGGAGGCTATCAGGGGGAGCACCAGTTCCAATTCGTGTTCGCCGAAAAACAAGTGCGTAGCCTAAGACATTTCATTGATATAAAAAGGGTCCTATATCTATTTACATATTTATTTATATGCGCTGAGTCATATCAAACTACAATAAAAGATACTACAAGATACGTTTAGATAGACGTAGACGTTAAGTTAATATCTTCGGAACAATGTTATCTTGTATGCATTATAAATAATATTTTTTCTAATTCCAGGTGGGCTTAGCCGTGGGAGCACTCTGCGTCATCCAAGGAGCAGTTTATTTGCTGGACACGGCGCTTTCCGTAATGCATTTTACAAAGGAGATGTAACTCTATTTCTTGTTAGGTTTTAGCCTTTTTAAGACGTACGTTATAAGCAAAATCTTATTAAACGACCATTATTTCTATAGCTCTCGTTGAATCGAAGACGATCTGATTGTGTTGAAGATAATATATAACTTTTATAAGTGTCTTTTCTCCGTCTTACGTGTCTTCGACTTGAAGTCCGAAATTTTGCGGCGCAGATGTTTTCCCACCTTGTTTATTTTTAATTCTTTGACAGGTAAATAATTAAAAATGTCATACTAATCTTAAATAAAATTATTCCTCGAGATCGGTCCTTTGATTTATATGCCTTATGTACAACCAATAGAAGTGAGATTGAACCGGAGAAAATGTACGACACACGTATGACATAAGGCTAATTATTTAATTAAAGCTCCTAGCTGGGAACTTGAGGTCAATAGAAGTGTCAAATTAAACGGATCACAGGTCAAAAGAATCATCCGGCGCAGAGTGAGTCGTGTTCTTGGGCTATCTTTAGTTCAAAAGCTGCCACATTCGCACGACATCGTACTTGTTTCATTTCTGGGGGGTTTTATTTTTCACGTGGGTTAAATTTCTGTAAGTCATCGTGAAAACTGGAGTGGACATATTGTGGTGATCTGGTCACCATCGCCCCGCCCTCGACACATTTCTTGTGTGTGGATCTCTACGCTCTCAAAATTGCGCCTTTAACAGAGAACGTAAGTGCTTTAAAAAAATTTTGCCGGTTTAAAAGTGCGTACGAACTTCGTTAAATTACTTTCGTTCTTCCACCGTCGAACCAATTTCGGTCAACACTCTCCTCTCTCTGTCTCTTCTTCGTCGTATGTGCAATCTATTTAGCATTCACTCTTTGGACCTGGATATTTTTCATCACAGTCCTTCCGACCTCCGACAATTACTAAGTTTTCTTGGAGCACTAATATTACTATATTACTCAACGAGTCTATTGCTATGCGCTCATACCGGCGCACGAGATTGAGGGCATCGGGATGCGTCTCGTTATGCGCTTCAAAGGGTTTACACTGATACTCTATGTTTAACATCTATCGAACCGGACAAAGAATATATTATAACACGCGTATTATATACGAATACGTACTGTGCCGTAATGTGTAAACAATACTCGCCAACATAGCATAGCACGACGCGATTTGAGAACGGCGAGTGTTATTGTCCATTGTTGTGCCCAATGGGAGAGGTCAAAGGACCTTCTCGTTTCAAATGCCATACAATCCTCAAATACATGTTATTACTTAAATGAACAGCCGACGGAAATACAGAGCATTATTGATGTAGAGAGAGTGAGAGAATAGAAATATTTTGATTTAAGCTGTTTTGTGATTTAAAAATGAGGATCAGCGGCGCCGGGCTTTTTGAATATTTAGACACTCAATGTAGAATCTGCAAGTATTACCTGCTACGGCAAGCGTAAATTTCGCTCACTTTATTCATAATTCATTAAGTCTTACTCAGTGTTCGATATATATTATTATGGAACGAGCGCCTCGTTTGCCATTGATCGTCCTTTGGCCGCCGTCTTGTCGCCAAAATTCTGGAATATTAGGGTGCTTTCATAGTGACGACCTAATTTCGAATGACCTACCTACTGAGCCGTTTGCTTGTGTCTACAATTATTATAGTTACATATCAATTAATTATTTCTAGAGCAACGTATTGGCTTAGGCACGTTTACCTCGAACGAGTGCGAGTGATTCATAAAATGAGACATGAATTTCAGTAAGTTTCCTGTAACTGATAGAATTAAATCACCGGGAAGCCGTTTTCATGAGAACGAGTCACTGTGATTTTGTTCTGAAAATAACTACATTCCATAATGTTCTATTGAACATTATGGAATGTAATAATATATTATTACGAAACATGGCCCGTACACTTCGAGCCGGCACAGCTTTATCATTGCGACGTTGTTTTATTTGCTTGCCTTTTTATTATTAAAATTTTAAGGGCCTCACTCGAAAGTACTTTGAAATGTACATTGGGATTCAAGCAATGCTTATGGAAATCAGCGTCGCGATGGACGAGTGCAGTCGCATAGTGCCCCGTGGACATCGGTCATGAAGTGCGTGCGCGCAGTCATCCAGTATGCAGCTATGCACGACTTCTAGACCGGAAAGCGATAGAAAGTGGCTTTTCAATTTACAAATAGCTACATAATATTACGCACGAATTTGGAAATGTAATGAAGTGTTACCAAAATGGTGACATCTACCCAACGCCTAACTAGTGACTTGTATAAAATCGATTCTATGTTTTATTTAGTGTTTTTCAAACTACCACGTACTACCGAATAACATTGTTGTGTTTTACGCAATAGTTCAGTAAACAAAATATTGTAATAGGCGCATCTCAGCGAGCCCTCAATGTCGGGACCTTGCGACAAAGATTGTGACAAAAGCGATCGTAACGCACGACCGATATCCACTTTGTCTGAACAATTTATTGTCGCTTTCGCATAATCGTAGATGCCGTTTATGTTACAAACACAATTCGGTCGGTTTAACTCGTATCGATCAAAGCAGAAACGTAAAAGGGCTCATTCCCATTAGCTAATAAATGGATGAAGCCAAAAATATCCAGGCGCGGCGTCGGCGGCTCAGGCGAGTACTTGAAGGTTCTAAAGAAACCAGACGGCTCGTCTAGTCCATTATTTTTGAGGCATTCGCATTTTAAGATTAAATATCATCGTCTCTCCTATAAAAAGAAAAATCTCGAAAGCTGTATCCGAACGCGTACTCGTATTTTGATGTCAAATGCAACCTCCGCGCTTTATAAGCGAACAGCTGGGAATCGCCTTTCAGTCGAGGAACAATGGCGCTGAAGCTCGGGAGCTTCGTAGGAAAATTCTGGCGCACGGTCGCAGTTTCTAACGCGGCGCCGTGAAGCATAGAGGAGGAGAAGCTAGGGCGGTGCACTAGTCGATTCGCGGCAACCACTCGGAGCGCACTCGCCCGCACTTGTCGTAACTGAAGCGCCCCGTTGTGTTTTCACATTTGTTTCGGCCGTTTCGGCCTCATTTAAGGTTTCTTTGGTGAGTTGCATTATCGATTACATTCAGTCGAAATTAATCTTTAAACGCAGTTCAAGTGTTAAGGGCGAGAACTTGTTACGCATTAGGAAATGACAGTGCACACTTAACGCGAACCAACTTTCAATTAAATTTCAATTATTCAATTACTGAAAACCGCGTTACTAAACTACTATTTTCATTAGACTCGTTTCGGATTATTTTATAAAGTAACCAGAGTGTTTCGGAGATGATCGCTAAAAATAGAAGTAACATAATGTAATTTTTAATTTCCCTCAAATTATTTAGAGAAACTAAGTTTTACAGAATTTTGGTGCCGTTGTAGTCGAAGGGTTTAAATTGACCGTATATCGATTTGGTGTTTTTCGGTCAACACTTGTGATATTCCTGAAGATCGATATCTAAAATATGAATATTTAATCGTATGTGAATCGATAATTTGCACGTTAGCGTAGCATTAAACTAATAAACATTAATTAATAAAACACGAGACAGTTTCACTGAGTCAGTGGCCGGTGGCCAGTTGGAAAGTTAGCGGACACGCGATAATTCAAAAAATCCACGCGACCGTATTGGAAAGTGTGCACGGGCACGTATCGATACGCGCGAATGCTCGCCGTTCGTCAACGAGTCGATGATTCCTCTACATACTTCAAGGGATCCCGATCGATAAAATGCGACTGCATCGAAGTAAGCGATACCACTTTAAAGTAATAAGCAATGTTTTGATGCCGAGGCCGATTGCAGGTTTCGGAGTTCGGGGGCGGAGCGCGAGTGGTGTGGGCCATGTCAGCGGGCGATAGAGAAACCGAGGCTCAGGCCAAGAAAGATGAGGGAAGCAGCAGCGAAGACAGCCGCGCAGCTCACGCGTTCAAACAGAATTGGTGCATCGCTCTCAGAGCGCTCGAACTGGTGAGTCAAAGATTTTATTTTTTTCTTTTTCGTTTTTAATTATTTGGATGTATCGGTAGTATCGAGAGGTTAATGAACTTGAAAAAGCGCTAATGCCAGGGAAAGGTTTTATGGCAGCACCTACTGTAGTACTGTGTACTTAGATAGCTGTTTTATACGATTACTTTAAAAAGGGGCGTCGTCTAGTGAGTAAACGTAATTATTGTGCTCTGACTCACAGCCATTATAGCTGTTTTATACGAGATAAACTCGACACATTTCTTGTTATACCCACTTTTATGCGATCAAAAATTTAATTATAGTAGGCATTTCGTGATCTCGATAACTTGAGACTATTAAAATTAAATTAAAAACAACTTGCCCTCGTTTGAAAACTTTAATATTTTCCACGTTATTGCACATAATGGCACTATATGCTGTCGCTCTAACCGATTGAGCTACTGAGACTTAATTGATTAGAGCAACAGTACGGAACGCTGTGGATGCCGGTTCAAGGCCTGTCCGAGTCGTTTTTTTTTTTAATCTATATAACTTGACTTCGATAAGCGTAAAAAGTGAAACAATTACTTGTTCACAGCCATAAGGCCAGGGAAATGTACATAAGTTTGTTTTAACAAATAGACGGAAGCCATACCGGGTTTGTGGCACAATGCGACGATTAGAACGAGATCACGCATACTCATAACGAGCGATCGCTACTTGGCGAGTCGCTAAGCTAGCTCCGCACTTTAGCGCCGCTACGACATGGGCCGACGTCATTGAAGTCTAATAGTTTTTTCTTTAAAGTGATTATAATGCTTTCTCTTCTAGGTCCTGGCCGTGATCGCCATCGGGTTGATAATAGGAGCACTGTACGCGCCGCAGGTTGTGCAGTCCGACCATCGGCACATCGCCCTCATCTACTCGGCCTACTCAAGTTAGTGCTCGAATAAAATGACCGAAAACCGTAAACCATCGAAGAACTTTTTGTGAGAATTCACTTAACTCTCAACTTTGGCGATCGAGGAGACCGTGGCCCGATTACGACAGTATTAGGTGTAATCTATCAATTGAGCCGATCGCTGACGATTTGTAACCGCAGTCTAAAGATTAAGAGAACGGTCGGTAGAAAGGTTAATCGAACGACTACATATAAACATTTTCAGTAAAATCCAGTTTCCACCGCGGGGGGCGTACACGTCCACGTTTCTGTTTCCGTTTGACGGACCGATTATAGGTCTGACTTCTGTGCTCCGTCCGACCGAAAACTTTCAATGTGTTTCCTGAGATCGAACCGCTCGAGGACACTCCGCTTTGAAAGGGAAAAACTCTGTTATCGTCGCACAGAGCTAGTACGTTCGGATGACGAGGGCAATTAAGAAGAAATTAGTTACGTTTAACGTTCATTAAGATTTCAATCGGGCGTTATCTGGCCGTGACAAATACCAACAGAGGCTACGAGTACTACTTCCATAACCTTAAAATAAGAAATAAGCTAATAACTAAGTGATCACAATTCTTATTACTTACTTATAAGTGAAAACATTGCATAATGCAACAAATGTTCAGCATCGCTCGAGTGGAAAATCAATTTCATATTATTCGAGAAAGTCGACTTCGGTAGATTTTCTTGAAGCAGTTTTGCAATAAGACAAAGCGACCATCAAACATCATTGCTATTAGTTTCGTCGTAGTGGACATTAGGGAGGTACTGAAGCGATAATGACGATTTCTAGGTTACATCATAATTACTGGGGTCCTGATTATCGCGCGGATCTTCGGTGAGTCTGCTCCCTGGAGAACATCTTTAGCCTTCTCGATATTGGGAGTGATCATGTTTACTGCGGCGGCGGCCGTCATCTTCTACGGTATGTACTCTGTTTTGGCACTACAAATAACATGGTTACCACAAAGTACTGAACGCGTACCTCGTGACTATATAACGCGACCTTAGAAAGATAAAACCTTAGTTCATGAAAGGAATGTACTAATCTATATTTGTTATGAAAGAAGAATAACTCGGATATTGTATCGTTTAATTTAAAGTGTATAATTAACCTTCACTATCCTTTTATATGTTGAAGCCGTAACAGTTTAATACGACACGATTGAATTTTAATGTTCCATTGAGCCCGATGCTGCTCATTCAGCTACGAGGTACGAATGACAACTATTGTCTCGATTGCACCCACTCAATTAACTGATCTGACCGATAGTGATGACTTATCCGAGAAAAGTCTCAGTACATCGCGTGATAAAGGTGCCCTCAATGTGTAGATGATTCTTTTTCTTTCAGATTTTAGATAGTATCAGCCTGCTTTTATATAAATTAATTTATTATATTATATATAACATTTCATTAACATGTAAACCTTGAGCAATTTTGTGTTATATATTTTTGTGACGGGGGAACATTTGCTTCCATGGGGATCACTCGATAGAAGGTGGAAACGCCCCGGCCATGTAAAATCTTGGCTTAGAATAGGCACGGACTAAAACGCGAATTACGCTTTACAGGTTCTTCATCTGAGATTCGGGAACGAGACGGACAAAAATTCAATATACCAATCCAGACGGGGTCTAATATGTTTAAAAAATAGAATCAAATTTAGAATACACGACTCGTCGGTTTGTAGCCGTAGTAACTCTATCATTAACAGTATTTATCATTTAACAGATTGGCACCGCTCCTACTACGCGAACATTCGGCCGAATAAAGGTTCATACGACCTCCTCATATCCTCAGGGGTTTTCGCAATTATGGACGCCGTTGTCTTTCTGGTTCACGCCTTCGTTACCTTCAGAAAGGAGGCCGATTACTAACGCAAATTGTAACGCCCGTTTGATATACTTCACACTTTGAATAACGTAAGACACCAATTTTTAAGATAATAAAATATGTATATACGTTAGAGATTAAATATCACTCTTTATTTACTCCAAAGTATAAAATAAGCAAATAAGTAATTCACATTTAACATAAGATTGTTTATAATAATTACATTATTTACGAATATTTTTAGAGAGAATTTGTGTAGATATTTACGTGTTGTCCTCGAGTGTAGCTTTTGTATAAATTAAGAGATTAGTAATAGTTTACGTGAAGTAAATAACAATATTTTTATTGTATCATAAAGCAGCACTATTTAGATAGTGTATGGCCGACCAAGTGCAAGAAAACTTAATTTTCTCATTAAAAAAGTACTGTAACATTCCGTATAAATTTACTGTTTACCTTATTATTAGGAAATAATACCACCGTCTCTTAATTTAAGATGCACATACAAAAAGCAGGTATGTTTTTTTATTAGTTTTAGTTTGTTATTATTTTTAGATGAGAAGAGAAACCAAAGCAGTAATCAGTATCCGTCCAGTGGGTAGTTAAGTTTTCTTAATTTTAGCATCATCTATTTATACGTAAGTAAAGCAAAACAATTAATTATAAAAATATTCATTATGAACTAATATTATATTATTTTTTCCTATGATTTACAAACTGACTTATACATGGAACGAACCCAGAGATTTGTATAACTGGAATTATTCAAAATGTTACTGTTTGATATTAAAAGTTGACAACTTTTGTTGCACTCCTTATCCTACGCTTTATAATTTTTCAGATACAGTTAACCCTCTTAATCTAGTTAGAAAGTGAGTGAAAGCTACGTGCATTAACTTTATATTTAATTTGTCGTCTTTAATATGGCATCAACATTGGTTTAGTTTAAGTAAGAACGGGAATAGTGTTTTAACAGTTGTACATTTTAATATAATTAATATTCGGCGCTAATGTTACCTTATTGGCCTTATATATAAATCACAAGGTACTCGCGTAATGACAGAAATTAAATTGTTTAATTATTATTGTTATTATTAAGAATATACTAATAATACGAAACATTATATTCACGATATTGAAGATATTTATAGATATTTTATTTTTAAATACATTATTATTTCGCAATGCAATTGTTCTTTACTTATCAGTTAATTAAATGTTACATTAAAGTTTAAGTCTTCTTTTAACATACCTGTCCGCTGTATTCCCGAATTTTATATCCTCCCAACAATTGTGTTCACATCTTAGATCTTGCCTTTTCAGTTTATCTTAAGATTAAGTAAACAACGAGTCTATTTAAACATTATGTATGATAGCACTACCAAAAACCGGTTCTTTTTATTTCGATACGGTACATCCCGTTTGATATTGAATTTTTTTGGGTTCCCGTCACAGATCACTTAAACTGGGTCCTGTGGTATTCTTCCTCATATTAGTGATTGATTGTTTAGGGTAACCCTATGACTACAGACCTAGTCCAACGTCGCAATTTTAATAAAATACAGTGTAGTCTGTGGTTTCGCCATTTAAAGTTATTAAACTATTTATTGTTATTTGTAATTGAATAGATGTTATGCAACACTGGAAAAGTTATTATAAATATTTGTTGAAAAATACAACATTTAAATTTCATAACAGAGACGTTCAAGTTCACCTCAAGTTTCAAGAAAGTGTTACTTAATATTAGTTTAAAAAAATATAGTCAAAATTGTAATCGCTTAGTCCTGGGATTAAAATAAGCCTACATAATTACCTTAATTATTGTTTTGTTATAGATGGAAAATGACATGGAAATTAATACCTATACTAAATAGGCTTCAGTCAGAAAATTATTTTAAATCAAAAAGTTTCTTCTAAATTTGATTTTCAACCAGAAGGCATTTCAAGAAGTATGATTATGGTCATTCAAATTGTTATACAATGTTTTAAAATTCCACAAGCAGTACTCATTAATCATTAATTTGCCTCTGGACTCAAATATGCATACCGAAGTGCTAAACTGTGTGTTCCAGTTAACTAAGACAGTAATAAAGTATCATTTTATATAATCATAGTATAAATTGAGAAACATTTTATTTTTAGATTTATCCCAAAAATGTGACACAAGTTAATTAAGAAAACACTTGAAAAATGGGTGCTGACTTATATATGAATAAAGCACCTTTTCAGGCGGTGTCAACTAGGACCTCAACTTTAGGAGTCATCAGTTATCTTACACATCACCATTCAAGAATAATCATTATTTTTAATGAGAATCCACCTGCCACTGGATCTATTAATGTAAAATTGATTTATTTTATGGCTATTGCAAATCACCTTTCACAAACATTGTATGCACCAATGAAAGACCAATGAAAATGCAATATTTGAAGAATATGGCTTGTTTAATTGTAAAAAAGACAAATATATTTTGGGATACCTGTCTGCGTTTTTATTCTTATTTAATAGAAAACCCCACTTACATACCACATAAACACATTGTGTTTGAAAAAATGTAATGAAATAGTACTTTTTCCAAACTTAAAGATGATTTTGGCCTGTCATATAGCTTGCTAGCCTTTTTACGTCATTTAATTGTTACTTAAATAAACAATTTATTAGAAGGACCGCCTTTAACGTTTAGACACAACTATTGCAATAATATATACCTAGCCTTGTCTATTGTAATATTATTTTACAAATAAATCAGATTTTTACGATGTTAATAATTGTTTATAAGCGTGTGACGTCGACATAAACCTGACCAATCAGGAGCCTTTTTTGTCAAATAACAAATGTTTAAAATATTTTTTTGTTCCTATTTGACTACTTCTAAACTTTTACTAAACGCAGAATACAATAATAGAAGATATATTTTTCACACTGTCAAACGACCCGTTTGCGTTAGAGTAAACATGTCAGAACAAAAGGCAATGACAGACAAAATCACACGTGCTGTTTTTTTACGGAAAATTGTAAAAGTACTTTCGATAAAGAGAATTATAAAAAATGATCTTACCTTTTCCGCTTTAGCTAAATAGATCCACAACTTTCTCCAAGTGGAAAACTTCTTTTGATCACTAAAATTATATTGCATTTCTTTGGAAGCATATCTTGTGCTCAGCGGAGATCGATAATTGCAATATTCAGAACTTTGTAGGTGCAGTGGTGCATCGATAGAAAACATGGTGTATTTTTAATAAAACTGAACACTTGATTTTCGACGCGCACGATCCAAATGTGTACTCAACCGGCTGCATTTACAAATGAAAGAACATGTAGCACTGGTCTCCGTTTGATTCGATACGCGCGAGAATTGTATTCCGATAGCGGGGTTATCGGCAAATCTGATGTAACCTTTAAGATGTCGTTTTCTTATTCAATAGGTACAGATAATTGCCAAATAAGTAATCTTTTATTTTGTTTGCGTGTTGCCGTCAAAAAGATGAACAGTATTTACATCACTAATATTCCTAAGTATAGTTAGGATTATTATTATTATATTAGATTATTTTAAGTATAGGATGTAGGCCTATGATAAATAAATAAAAAAGGCATTTAATATTAACCAATCATATATCTCTTAAATGTATAAAATAAAAGTAATTTACGTTTTTTTCAGGTTGTTGTTATATAGTATAAGTAGGTCATACACTGCCTCAATATATATTTGATGTAAACAATTAAACTATTAACGACTCTTACCTACTACTAATGAGATGAACACTTATTATCTCTTTTCTTTGTTTGTTTTAAGTTTTGTCCAAAAAAAGAGAGGTGCATGTATAATTGTTCCCACCACATTGACAATTAAGACATTTTATTTTGCATTTAATGTCAATAGCAAAGGTTTACTTATTACTGTAATCGAACTGAAATTAACAGTATAAAACAGTCAACTATAATTATTACAGTGTACAAGAACGTACACATGGGCGCTGATGGTCAGTTACACTTGATTTTTTAAGGACTTCATCAGTTTTTCCAGTTTCATTGCCTTTGGCAGGTCACCGCTTATCTTCAACTTGCCCATCATAAATGCTGTGGTTGGCTTGAGCTTACCTTAAGTGGGAAGAAATAATTATTGTAAGGTTACAAATACTATTTAAATAAATCCCATATGTACTGACAAGTTGGGGACAAGGACAAGAATGAATTATGTTAAAATCTACGTCCGCCTCACCAGCAAACATATCTGCAAAATGCTTGCCGTCCATGGTAAGAGTCGCATCTGCTCCACCTGCTGGTTCCCCACTACCACATGTTCCTGGGTCATTCTTCAAATCTAAGTGCCAGACACCTGCTTCTTTACCTATGACAATATATAATGTAGTGTTTAAGTATGAGCTACAATATACATAATATAAATATTGTCTGACCACACTGACCCTTGACATTAAACTGGTATACTGCTTGGGTCTTCTTGACAAGTTCGGGTGTAATGCTTTTACTGATTGTATCAAACAGAGCCGGTATTTGACCCCCCCCACTGGAAGACTGAAATGTAAGAGAACACTCAATACAAGTCATCTCACTGGAATATATAACTAAAGCAAAACTGATTTATTATTAAAAAAGTGAAAATAGGAAGTGAATTTAATTTTAAATCATGCAGATTCAAATATGGCCATAGACATGTTTATACAACTTCTTTGGCTGCTTGCTGACCCTGTCTGGGCCCATCCAAAAAGAAGATTTTCTATATTACAAGTAACAAACAACAGCGTGTTTTTAAGTAGACATTCCTGAACCCGTCTTCCAAAAGTCAATTAAACCATGAAACGTGTCTATGGCCACACAAAAGAATCTGATGAAAGCCTGTTTGAAGAATCACTATTAACAGTTGTGGGCACCTGCTCAGCGCGACGGACAGCGGAGGTATGGTAACGGCGTACGCCGCCGACGGCAGAAGCGACTGTAGCATGGTGTGCTGCTTGCTGATCCTGTCCGGGCCCATCCAAAAAGAAGTCAGGTAATAGATTTTCTATATTACCTGTACCAAATAACAGCGTGTTTTAAACTAGACATTCCTGAACCCGTCTTCCAAGAGTCAATTATTAAACTATGAAACGTGTCTATGGCCACACAAAAGAATCTGATGAAAGCCTGTTCGAAGAATCACTATTAACAGTTGTGGGCACCTGCTCAGCGCGACGGACAGTGGAGGTATGGAAACTGCGTTCGCCGCCGACGGCAGAAGCGACTGTAGCACGGTGTGATGCTAACGACGTCTCATCGTCCAAGAAACCGTCCAATAGGAGGTTGTTGACGTTCTCTGTGGTTCACACATACCTCTCAAATAACTAACTCAATGTATTCCATTTGTGTGTACACATGAACTCAAAATTAAATATAAAGTATGTGTTTCTAAATACATATGTAGTTCAAATTCAAATATTTTATTGCTATTATAAGATATTTACAACTTATAACTAAATTGCGTGCAAAAATAAAAACATATATAAAAAAGAAATACATAAGGGGTGGCAATCGGTGCCCGTCTCAGCTGTGCTGCTGAATGCTTGTCGCACTGTTGTTGCTTTCTTAATATTGATTAGTTTTGACCAATGAGTAACTAATAATAAATATTGGGTTACTAGGGATTAAATGGTTACTTACTTGGGTCACAGGCGTAAGGGGTAAGATCCTTGACCCCTGCTTCTAGTACAATGTCATCATCTATAGCAAAGTTTCCAGTGTATGTCTTTGGATCTCTGACAATAATGGACAACAATATATTACAGTGTGAATAACAATAAAAAACATTCCATTAAGTTATTTTCTTTCTGTAAAATCAACTTACATAGATGTAAAGGCAAAAAAACTAAGAACACTGCAAAATTACATTTTTACTCACTTGCACAGCATAAAGTAAGCGGCATCCGAGACAATTTCTGGCTTTCTGCTCGTTGAGGAATCGCCAGTTAACATTTCAATGGCTGCTGTTGCAATTCCTATTGAAAAAGTAAGTGTCAGAGAAAAGTAATGGACATTGAACTTGTTTTGGTAACAATAAGTTATACATTGTAATAATATATTTGGCGTTATCTGTTTATAATGATATCATTGTCTGCTATGTATAAACTTACCGGTTCTAGGCCACAAAGCGTTGACTCCGATGTTAAATGGGCGGAATTCTTCACTCATACCAAGTACACACATTGACATACCATATTTTGCCATTGTGTATGCTACATGTATTGAAAACCTATAGAAAAATTTTGTTTATTGAAAAACACATTTAATTTGGAAAGATTTAAAAAGTTATGACACAAGCAGGTGCTTGCCATCTATTTTTCTTATAAACCACTCAAATATCATTTTCCAACTTAAGTTTGTGCACTATAAACTAAAAATTTTCAAGTAGTGAAGTAGTAGAGACATTGTTTTCAAATGCCTATCCTAATATATGACACAGTTAAGTTTGAAATTGCCTTCAGATACTAATGGAACTTTCATACGAACAAATGTAAGAAAAGGTTCAGTAATTACCACAAAGGATTCATATTGAGTGGAGGTGAGAGGTTGAGAATGTGTGCGTGGTTACTTTCCTTTAACGCTGGGAGACATAGTTTAGATCTGAAATCATAGATATTATTACTGAAAATGTCTATTTGTGTAAATATTATTAATTAGGTAATTTTAAATATCTTACACTAAGAATGTGCCTCGAGTATTAACATTGTGCATTAGATCATATTTCTTCATGTCTGTATGGGCAGTACCAGTCAGGGAGATGGCAGATGCATTATTAATTAAAATGTCTATCCCATTAAACTAAAAAAAAAGTTTATAAATGTATTAGCATTATTTTCATTGAGTCTCATTCCACAATGGAATGTAATTTCCCATCCACTTCATTTTGGTTAGGAAAGAACATTAATTAAGTTAGCAACCTTTTTGATGGCTTCATCAATAGCGTTCTGTATTTGCTTCTCATCCCTTACGTCCACGATACATGGTAAAGCTTTTCCACCGGCTGCTTCAACTGAAAATTATTTTAAAACATTGTAAACTACAGTTTACCCTTGCTTCAATATCGTAACATTTTCCACAGGGCAGACTTAGTAAGAATTATCAGCATTCATAATATCATTTAAAAAAAAGATTGAGTTTGATATAATTGTTACTAAAAATCCTTGTAAGATTGCTATTGAAGCACAAATAAAGAAAATTATATCATTGAATTCATCATTGTATCGTCCAAAGGTCATTACACTCACGCGAGTCCAAAGGTCCTTACGCTTTTGTCATACTATTGAGTACTGATTTTTTGAAGCAGGTTAAACTAGTTGCCAACAAATTATATTTTTATTTTTGCTTACTTTCTTCGGCTGCGGTATAAATAGTTCCTGGTAGTTTAGGATGAGGCTCTGCCGTTTTTGCAGCGATCACAACGTTCGCACCATCTCTTGCGGCTTTGAGAGCGATAGCCTTGCCGATGCCTCGGGAAGCACCCGTTATGAATAATGTTCGTCCAGCTAGTTTCCTTTAGACAAGATTTTAAATTAGGTATGCACTAAATTGATATGAAAATAAATCTCTACCGATTCTTACCCTGTATTGGCGACTAAACTCATAGTGAAGCGAGGATTGCGGAATTTACTCTGTACACAATTATCGTTTATTAAATAGTGCAAGTGACTTTAACACTTGAAGAAACGAATTACGAAGTTTTGTTTATGATAGTATCAAATTAAAGTGAAAGTTTAAAGAGTATACTCAAGAGCTACGTGTAAAACCACAGGTGTTAGTGACTACTGTCAACCGTTAGTTCCGACGTCCCGCTGCTAACTGGTCTTTATGTTTTTGTCTGTTCTATTTATTTATATCTCAGTACTATGTTCGTAATCTTCAACACGACATTATGTACGTATTTGTGAACCCGATAATTTTATATATTTTTATCTGAGATTCATGGCAGTAGATTAAACTCTTGTCTCGTACCTACAGATTAAACTTTGTTTTCGGTTGTTTTTATTTTTGTAATATCTGAGTGTGAGTGTGGCAAGAGGACATTAAAAGTATGAACTTAACGAAATGTTTACTCTTGCAAGCTTATATTAAATAAGAACCAACACTTATGACGAAACTAATAAGATTTTTAACTTTCACACCACTGTACCAGTCTGCGCAGCTGTAATAAGTGGTATCTAAAAAAAACTCAATACAGCGGTTATAACTAGTAGTTTAAACATTGTATTATTATTTTAACGACTAATTTGTTGTTTCGAACAAATTTTTTGGCAGAGATAATAGCTAAATCATAGTGTAGATAAAATATACAGATAATGAACAGATTAATAACACAGAAACGGTACTGTTACAAAAGTGTAAGGTAGAAGTAATAATTTATCTGAAAAGTCGAAGGTCCTCTTATCTTAGTTTGTTTTCAGTTTATTTGAACATTAGACATTGACCCTTCCTTATCATTGCAGGTATTACAATGATCGACTGATTTAATCAATTAACTAATTGCTCGTTTGTAGTTTTTTTTTTATGATAGAGGGGATATGGTTCACTTGATGGGAGGTGAAATCACGTGTGTCATCACAAGTGGGGTATTTACCCCGACAATTTAACAATATTAATTTACCCCACTTATTACAGCTCTACACAAGATGCGCTCTCTACCATTCTACCAATGCTACTGGACTAAAGATCAAGTTTGATCAAAGAATTTTAGTAACAAGGTTGAGTATATGAATTTAAAAAAAATTCATAGAGGATAAGATCTATTATTACCGCTTACGTGCTAAATTAATTTATTGTATGCTTTCATGAAAATGTTACAAAAAAAGCGAAGCAGTTTGTTATATGTTTATTTCTGTGCACATTCCATCCACTCTCCTAGACTCGAATCTACACATACAATATTAATAAAATACATATTGGAATTTGATTAGTTTTGATTTAAAATTCATAAGACATTTACTTAGGCTTTTCTATGTACCGTAATAATCTAGGTATGGCTCGAATCGTTGATAGAATTTTATTTACCTATGTCTTAAAAATAGTACTACTATACCAAAGGAGGTATATTGGCTAATGTGTGTACGACATTTAATTTCATTCGTTCGACCTTCACCACAAATACATCGCGTACACAATCAACATATATGATAGGAATAAAAAATCTTTCGTAAAAAAACAACAATATACTACAGTAACCGTCTCACTTCTTACGTTACAACAATACTGAGATTTATTACACTTATTTGGTTTAAGATTTCAGTTTTATAACTTCACCTGAAAGTATGTATATAGTAATATAAGTTCTCGCTTCGACCCTGTCTTCTTAAATACATAATATTACCCGGTTGAATAAATTTATAATCGTACTAAGTCTGTACAATTGAAAAAATTAGGTTGCGGTATATTAAATAATTCTGTAGCAAGTCGTTGGCAATGTTTGTTTGTATTTAATCCGATCGTAAGAATGAAACAGTACGGTTTTTAAAAACCATTTTAAGCACCATAAATTATTATGTAAATATAAATAATTCTTTACAAATAGTCTACGATAATTAAAGCATCGACAAATAAGAATTGGCACCGAAAACTAACGAATAGCTTCGTCGGGCAAAACTTAAGTTACGTTACCTAAACGAGTTGTCTGGACGAATGAATGAGCCAGCACATTGGAGATACGAGGACACGACATTCAACTAACGATATAATGGTGTTTTTTCTCTCACTCTGTGTCTATCATTATATAATGGAACTAAGACGAATACTTCTATTTACACTTTATAATCTCGCAGATGAGTTATTGTTACGTACAAAATAATAGTATAATCCTCTCCAGAATTATCCAATCTCAGTGAGAGTTATAGATTAACATTTTTTCCTTAATGCTTTTAAAATACTGTTACGAAGGGATGCGGAAGAACTGTCTTTAATATTCTATAAGTATTAAAAACCCCGAAAATAAAAATGCCCACTTAGTGTCTTAGACTAAGAATTGTCACAAAAAATAGACATATATTCTGTCACGCCCGTTCTTCGTCTGTATAAGATCTGAGACTTAATTTGCATAATATCGACTTAGATGTAGGCAGGTCGCTTCGTGCTGTGTTGTATGGCCGCAAGGACATCGTGTTTGAGTCGCACGTAGAGACGGCCCTTGCGCCACGGGTTCTGCAGCTGCAGCGGGCGGAAGTCGTCGCGAAGACACCGCTCCCTGAGGATTATCGAGAATAATAATTATATTTATATATTGATACAAGGCGGAATTCGATTACAACTTAATATATCCGAGTGCGTATGTCATCCGCCCAATATTAGAAACTAATTTTCTCTTTAATATCGGTGAACGCGGATGGTACCTTGCGCCGATAACGGCCACAAGACAGAAGTCGGGCAGCCGGTGGGGCGGGTAGAGGGGACCGCGACGGCCCTTAAGCAGCGCGGCCATGTTGAGTTGCCTCACGACCAGGTCGATGACTTCGCGGGCCGTGGTGCGAGCCGTCACTTGCAGCTTGAGCGACGTGCCCGCGGCTAGGCCCGTTTCGTACGCCGCGAACACCTGCGAATGCAACGACTCCATTCTAGAACTAGCTAGCACTTCACCATTAAACCATTGGCCAGGCGTAGATGTGAAGCGGGGCTCGAACCCACCGCAGACCTAGAGGTTGAGTATGTAGATGGAAATTGAGGGAACATGTCCGATATATGTATTCAAGTTGTTTTAAGTCTCTAATACCTGTAATATCCCAGGCTGGTCGGATCCGCGCCGTTCCGAAGTAGACTCCGCGCCCTCTTTTTTCTCCTCTCGGGTCTCCTGCGAGATCGGTTGTCGAATAACAGTTTTCACTTCTTGTTCTGTGTCCGTGAAATCGGTGTCCGACTTCACACTGCTCGCGCTCTTGGAGGGCGAGACTCGGAGTTTCGGACAGCTCTGGCACTCCGAATCGCTGGACAGGCTCTGGACGGACTCGTTTCCTGTCCGCACGCTTATCATACTACTCGTGTACAGGTTCCTGACCGTGAGTAGGGGACTAGAAGTGGTGGACAGACTGGCGTTGATGCTGCGTGGGCGCGGTCTCGTCTCCGGGTTCGGGGGCTCGTTCGGTACGAGCGCGTCTTCACTGCGTGAGGGCGGCAAGCGGCTATTGATGCTCGACGCCGACGACTGGATATCGTATTGCGAACCGGTGCAGTTGCTCATCGCACTGGATCGGGTGAACTGCGAGTCGCCGCTTCCTTTCCTCACGAATTTACGTTCTGCACTTGAGTACTGCGAACTGAGGTCGAGCGTGGAAGCGGACGATTGTCGAGGTGACGTACTAAGCTGTTGTTCGGACTTGCTCAGTTCCGGATGCAGGTGGGCGTGTCCGTTCCCGGACGGCCCCGGCCACGACCCTCGGCCGGGAGAGGTTTTAGTGATTTTTCCGTCGCGCGGAGGAATCTGCAATAAATCTATCTTGAGATTTACATCCCTTTCGCGAGATTCGTCCGAACGGTCCGCCGGAGTTTTATTCAGAACGTGCGAGAGTAGAACGCCGCTGCTGGGCCCCGATTTGTCCTTGTCTCTGGCGAATCCGATGAGATCCATGAGCCACCTCTCCGACTTCCACACAAGATTTAGGTTATTCTGCAAATCTTCTAACTTCGACAACCTTTCTTTGGCGGTCTGCAGTTCGGTGCAGGAGAAGGCTTCCCTGTGCGAATGGGCCGCGAGAGCGACGTCCAGCTCTAACAGACAGCTGAGTTTCGAGTATTTATTCAGGACGCCGGAATGGTACGTTTGCAGATGGATCATCTCGAAGGCTTGCACCGGCAGGCTAAGGAGGTCCCCTCGCTGAAGAAGAATTTCGCGCTGCCCGGGCACGGAACAGGCGCGGTCGGCGGGCGGGCAGAGCATGATGACGCTGACTTCGTCGCTCAGCTCGATGACCTCCGAGTCGTAGAGCCGATGAGCTCGCACGTCTTCGATGTCTATGTCCATGTCGGCGAACAATTTACGCGCGGCCGCAGATAGCTGGCGGAGGAACATCTCCTGAGATTCGGAGGGACTTTCGGTGCTCGCGGACTCGTCGCAGTTGGATTGGTTCTCCTCGGTTTTTCCAGATTGGGATTTAAGATATTGCCATTCTTCTCTGAAAAACAAAATTAATTCTATCGGATGAGATAATCTTGCCCGAGATGAAAATGGTAAAATGAACCTTCGCAGTGTACTCACGCGGAAACGTGCGGATTGTCACGGATGCGAGCGTGAGGTGGCACGTTGGGCGTGGCCGCCGGCACTACCACCCGCACCACCTCCACCGAAGACTGCAGCTTGAGGTAGCCCACGTAAAGGCCGCGCGGCAACGGTGTGCGGGACACCTAATAGCATAGTGTGGCCTTTGGCGTTAGTGTGTCAATTCAAATATTTCTGTCGTTTAGAATACAAATATCGAGTCATTTCGGTCGTCAGATTCCAAACCTGGTGGTATTGAATTTGGTCGTGAACGGAAGCGAGAAGCAGATCGGCGATGGTGTTATCGTCGCCGAGGCCGCGGCGGCGTAGTTTGTGGAGACCGGTCCAACGGGAGTTAAGGGCGGACAGCTTACTCGACTTCGCTGCCGAAACCAACGAGATCACCACCGTTCCGGCCGTGTCCCGCAGTGGCGCGTGGTATACCTGACCTGCAAGGCCAAAGCACGCGATAACGTCAGGGTGACAGTGACAGGCATCTTTTCTATCAAGACCAGTCCGAACGATGAGGTCTATAAAATGCGCGAAGGGATTTCAATCGACGAGTTTGTACACTCACCCAGGTCCTGCAAGCAGAGCGCTGCCTGCATTTGAGCGACAGCCGCGAGAAGTTTGAGTCGGAAGTGTACAGATGAAGAGGTGTGTCGCTCCATTTCGGTTCGCAGGCCTTTTATATTCTCCCACCCGCAAGACACTTTCATCAGCCAGTGAAAGTCGCCGTAGATGCAGGCGGGATACGTCTCGTCCACCTCGACCACGGGCAGGAACTCTTCGCCCGTCACCAGCACGCGCTCGTCATGATACACCACGCAGGCCAGGTACACGCCTCTGTGGTTAAAGTCGCTTCGTTCTTACAAAATAGACGAACGTACTAATAATGATTTAAGTTTGGTGATAAAAAAGCAAATCGTTTTGTACCGCCGTAAGTTCTTGTGAAATTTAGTGGCGGTGAATAGCTGTCGGATAGTCTTCTTGCGCGCGCGGCCCCCACCCGCTCCCCCCGGCCCCGTCGCCCCTCCGGCCAGAGCGGCCCCGGCCCCTGCGCCGCCTCGTCGCGCCCCCGCGCAGGCCACTGCGAGGGCGTCCAGCTGTTCGGCCGCCTTGCCAGCTTCTCCTCGAGAAGCACGGTGCGACACATCTCGCCAACCTAAGACAACTCAGTTTACTACCTCAAAAAAGAACGTTTGTCTTTTGATTAAATTTACTCGAGCATTGAGCTGCGATCTGATATGCGCACGTTGTTCACAACTTTGCTCTACTGATTTCAGTATATATGGTCCGTTAGTAACTAACTCACTGCTAGGCACGACGCTCCTGGGCAGCGAAACAGTGGCCTCCCCCCAACCTTTCAAGTTCCCGCCGGACACACGGAAGAAGTACCGTCGGCCTCGCGTGAGCCCCGCTATCAGGATCCGGCCTCCTCCGGGACTCTTCAAAGTGCACGCGTTCACTTCACGAGTACCGCACACGTTGGAGAAATCACCTCGCGACGACCATTCCACTAGAAAGTGTCAAGAATCTGCGATCTATATTCTTTTCCGGTTACTTTATAGAACTGAATCGAAACCGGCTCCGAAAATACCACTTAGAATGGGTTTGAGCGTGGCTATTAATTGATGATGACATAAGTTACTTTCGACTAACCCTTGTACTTAGTGAGAATGAGTTTGTCCCGCGCGAGCGCATTCTGACGCGCGGCCGGAATGCGCACGCTGACCGCGTGCACGCTGCACACTTCGAGCTCGGCCGACACCGGCGATCCCGCACTGCGAAGGGAACTCCACCCTGACAGCAACCGCCTGCAAGTGCGACGATCAATGTAGTCGAATTAATTTTACACGCCAAAGAATGCTCGAAATTTATCCCCTCTTTTGTTCGTCTCGGCGAGGACTCACTTGAGTGTCCTGTATCTCCTGTCCCAATACTGAAGCTGTTTGTCCTTCTCTGAAGCATTGGAGCCCGCGCACCCCGTCGTGGCGGCCTGCCCGCTCGCCGTCGATCTGCGACATTCAAACGCATCATATCACGTTACGATCCCTGTATTAGAAGGACATTAAGAAATAAAATATTTATAACAGTTTGAAACGAAGAACAGGTTAGCTGCGCGTTTTTATCTATGACCCCACACGTTCAGCTTTGAAAAACAGAGACCTGGTGGCGTCGTGCGGCGGTAGTCTGTCAGGTGGACAAGCTCCGCCCGCTTCTCGAACTTGGACTTCCGCCTCGCGGCACAGCACACGCAGGTGGGAGCACAATGCCTCGCCGGTCTTGACTGGAAACAGACACACTGGCGTTCAGTTTCGTATAATATAAAGACGATTTGTCCTTTTGTCATTGTTGTTGAATGGCGAAGAGTGAGAAGACCCCGCAACAAATAACCGATACTCCCTAATAGAAAATGAAGCAGGAAATAGATTTGCCATTCTACTATTTTTGTGTTTTTAGTAGATTGATTTCTACTAAAAACACATAAAATACAATAAATCTGAGTGAGCGCTAATCACATACGAGTAACATTTTACTACTTTACTTCTTGTGTTAAGTTTTTACATTTATTCCTTGATTAATTTTTAGTTCATCGATCTTTTCGTAACGTTAGGTCACATATTAAAATTGACGTTCACGTGAAAATGGGTAAACCCGATCGCGATAATTTATCTTCATATCAAATCTCAGCTCGTCCGTCTCAGATGAATGTCGAGTCGAGAAAGGTCTATCTCAGTTTAGCGTTTAGTTTGTATTTTTTATGTTTATTAATATTAATGAATTTCGTCATAGACAAACACGTGTTAACTGTTCGTATAGTTTTTCAAAGGGACACCATCAAGTATAAGTTCCAATATTTTCAATACCTACTAATAAAGATATTATTATACGAAGTTATCTAATCTGGTCGTTCAGTTGGCACTTTGAACTCTTCGTTTGTGTGTGGTCCAATTATCTGGCGATTAATATTGTTATTTGTAATAGACAAGTTCAGTAACTTTCTTAATTCGGATAGAGGTTAGGTTTTCTCTTAGCTCAGACTAACCCGGAAATGGCTAATATTAATGCCGTACTAACATTGTCCTCCTTCTTTGGCACCGAACTCCATGAGCATATTGGCAAGCGTTCGGTTGCCCGTGAGCACCGCGACGTCGAGGGGCGACAGGCCGTCCGCGTTAATACTGTAAACATTGAAAAGGACGTTTAGTCTTCTGGCCTCCCTCACAGCTATGTCTGTGAGTCGGACTGTCTATTACTTCGACTATAAATGAAAATAAAGAGACCGTCTCACCTATTGACGTCGACATCTGTGGAGTCCAAGATATTCCGGGCCTTATCGAGGTAACCATGTTCGACGGCCGCAAACAGAGCTGTGGATATTAAGAATGATACAATATGGTTGAACTTACATTAGTACTTCCATACACGCAAAGAATGGATCTCAAAAAAATAGAATAATCTTATAAATAAGAAAACCATTATAATAAAAAATATGTGTATAAAAAAAAAACAAATAAATTATACCCTGTTGGTGTATATTAATCTGTGTTAGTTTGTCTTGCGCGCGCGATTCCTTGTGCCGGCGTTTATCGAGAGGCGGGACCGGGGGAGCGCATGCGCTCAGAGAAGGGAGCTCCCCCGCACACCCTTCTACTAGCGCACCGTACTGCAGCTCTAAGTGACGAAGGGAACAACAAATAAACAAAATAATAAAGTATAAATAAAAAAAACTAAATCTAATAAGGTATATGAACATATTTTTGTGCAACTTACAGTTGATATACCGAATAAGTGTATATTCTTATACGTATTATGCACGTATGTAATTAAAACTAAAAATATTCCGACGGTTAAGAGAACCAAAGTCCAAAACACACACACGGTCGAACTGAAGAATTTGTAGTCGCACGTGCACGTCATACGCAGATGGTATCGAGACAATTAAGGATTAAGCTTCAAAGCTCATTGTAATTCTGGTAATCATTCGGAGCTAATTGGATACAAGTCGAGAATAATTATCTCTGAAGCCGTCGCCTAGACCTGTCGGTGTTAGTCAATTTAATTAAGATTGCGCCTTGCGGTTGTAATTATTCTTATAGAGTATGTATGCAACGAGATAAAATTAAATGTTTATGGGTTTTTGTTATGACCTACGAATATTCGGAGGAATATTGAGCCAATCCTCCCCAAGGTTGAAATCTTTTATTAATTGCATAATGGATTGAGCGCTTTGATCGCGGGGCGGACGTTTGCCGATACAGAGCCGTTCCTATTCCTATAATATTACTATATAGAGCACGTTGCGTAGGCGCGCATCAATCCTTAGAGTGCACACAACTGACCGAAATATTACACTTTAAAATGTAACTAGTCTAAAACTCGCTCTGAAACGACAATGCAAAGTAACGCTAGTCATTATTATGTACGGTCGATGAAGGTTATCGGTTGCGACCTTATTGGATTACGAGGCTTTATTTGGCAATAAAATATTTCCGAGTCGAGGTGAAGTCACCCTTTGTATCGTCGAACGGGTACGTAGCTAACGAGATCGCTGTGTCTTTTCCGCGTTCTTAACGGTCTCGTTAGACGCGAGACGCGGATCCTGCCGTCGATATAACTCCACAATAATTGGCAAGTAATTGTGCGTCCCGCGGGAGTCCATCGCTCGCAAATTAATATTTAAACGGCGGAATTGCCTCTAACGCAATAATCGAGAGAATGGGCGGCTTATATAAGGCGCCCCTAATCGGTCGCCTCGGCCTCACATTTCGCCTCATTACGTTAAATCATAGCTAAGATTATTCACTTATGCAATATTCGGCACCCGAGCTACTTTTTACGCTCTGTTCATTTTGCGATGCTCTAAGCTATCTAGTGAGGTTTTAGATTTCGTAATTTCTCACTGCAGGTGCACGCATCCCTAAACTTTTTCCAACAAATTAGTCAATTTAATACACTTGTAACAGTTGGATACTCACAATCGAACAATACGCAATCGTTTATTGTTCGAGTTTCCCACAATTGTTCGTCGTTTCACAGAATATTATATTTGGCACGACGTAACTGGGGTTTATACGTTCAAATCGTCGGCAAGTGTTCCTTTAGCTTCTGCTAACCCCAATTTTTGAATTTCAAATATTATTTAACAAGATGACTTACCGCACCAGAAGCTTTAAAGGAACTTACAAACTATGAAAACTGTCGTTTCGCAATGAGGTGATTTCAGTAAAATAGCTTTGGAAGGCGACACGACGTATATTCAGAATATGGGGGACCGTTTTAGGTGGACCGGTAGGTCACGCGCCACTAGTCGCCGCTTCGTGCTCAGGCTAAGGTTGCGTGGTCGGTCGTTACTCAATTACATGTGGTACGAATACCGTTTGAAAGCGACCGCGATGTGTTGCTGAGGCGGAAACCCGAAGGCCGGCTGCGGAACCGCACGTAAACGTCGCGACCGAATCCCACCCGACGTTTATCGGAAGTCTAACTAGTTAAGCTTAGACCCAATTTCACAGTGCTAATGACGCGGATTACAGGCGACCTCGGTTAAACGATAAAAACTGACCACATTTGAAGAAGTCTAACTTCATTTGTCACAGCGTATCGGCAGACGAGCGCTGCACCGTTGACCGCACCGGGACGGAGAAGACTGGCCACGCGGGACGAGTGCAGCGTGTCGACTCATAGCAGCAGCATTATTATAACTGATGAATAGGCGCGAGGGGCAGTCGCACGGCTCCGTCGGACCATTGTTCAGGGGCGGAGATGTGCCGACCGACGACGTCGCTCACAGATTCGTACTTTCGCTAACCGGGTTGCCGTTGTACAAGAATGCTCAAACTATGGGAATAGAGTAAAACAAAGGGCAGAGTTTTTGAACAAAGGGGAATCACAAAAATGGGTAATTACAGCCATCGCTGTACGGTCAGGTTGCTAACGAGAACAAAAAGGGTGACACCGTAACAGTGCGGTAATTGTGTTATTTCTCCGACAATTCGCCAACTTAGGGATTCCACATCATCTTACGTAAGGTCACACTCGAGGTAACAAGTAGGCGGCCGCAACGTGCCACTTAATGTGTAAATAATTTGAGTTATTTAATAATATCGTAAATCTGTCTTATAAATGGGGCGCGAGTTCATTTCCACCTGATCTAACGAATCCCATGCCTGGAAATCTGTATCCCCCTTTTAAGGGCGGGCGTGCTCTATCGTATTGTGCATGAATAACATTTATATTAATCGACGATGCTATCTCTGTCTTTAACGTAGCACTATAGAGAGATTTTACTCTTTTGCGCTTTTGATTTATTTAAAGTTAATAAAGTGAAATAAATGTTTTTTTTTTTAATGAGCTGTCAAGACACAATTATTATAAATTATAATACCAAATTAGATCGGTTTGCAGCCGGCGTCCATCGACCGCTCTTTGGGCTCGATTATTCGGACACCGGAATATTGGAACCATATTGGAAAGTGGAAGTTAAAAAAGTCGGCTAAAGTTCACAAAGCACACACCGATACGAGTATAATCGATCCAGATATGTAGGAAACGAGGCGATTTCTCTTCAGCAATAAATAAGGCGAATGGAAAACTTGGAATCAAAAGTAAGAAACATAGTTTCGCCAGCGTCGCTAGCGTGGGAACGCGCTCAGAAAACACAAGAGTAACGACCGCCAGTCGCGTCTACGGTTACTACTGTTGTACCTTATATCTCCATAAGGCAAAACGGTATTGTTACGAAATAATATGCAAAATGAACGAGGCGTACTTAGAATCAGTGGAGCAGCGGCGGCGGTGTAATCTCAAACGAAGGAAATTACACGCAGATTACGACACCAGGGCTAATCGCTCTATGGTCTGGTTAACGCGTGTGTTATTGTCTTACTATTATTAATGGACCAAGTTGTTGCGTCTGAGACAAACTTCGCTCCTTTTGCAACATTTCGCTCGATATTACGTACGCTACTAGCGAAAGTCTACGGCTACACATTTTCAGACAAAGTCTAAATTAATTCTAGAAAGATGTAGATCGCGGTGGGAATCGAACTCACGCCCCGTTAAAGGTACCGCGACAAGAAACTCGATATTAAGAGTAGGGAAGACTTGAATTCTCAAGTTTGAAGTCTCGTTATATTGAATGAGCGCGTCTTATTGTCCCCAAAAGGGAGAAGTTACATAAAACGTAATTTCACTTAAGTGGTGTTATGCAACGTGAAAATGAAGCACAGGGACACCTGTGATGCTAATCCGCACTCATTCCTCACCGGACTCACAAGAGCAGCGAACGTGTCGGGTCTGAGGGACAGGTTTCGTTTCTTACAACATATTTTACAATAGCATACAGCACATTCAAAGCGACTACAAATAGTTAACAATATGTACCTCACAATCGTGTAATAACAGTATGACTATATCATAAAAAAGAAACTTTGTTTGTTCGTGTGTAGCTGTTTTTGTGACTGGGCAAATGCATGAGGGTAATATGTCCTAGTTGGTCGAAATTGATGGCACTACAGTACGAATTGGTGACACTACAGTCAGAGCCTAGAGGTTCGGTAATCGATGCAAGATTATCGAGAACGATACGTACTCAGGTAAGCCGAAGGCGACAAGGGCAATTTTCTATCCTTAGGAGGAGTGCTGTAGACGAAAGCCTGGTTGACGCAGCCGCGGTGGTGAACGCACATGTCACTCTCCGAGCCGCGCCGCTGTCGCCTCCTGCCTTCGGGGAACGAGGCCGCTTCGGCTCCATTCTTCTTTTCCTTATTCGGCGAATGTATGTGAAGTAGTGCCGCCGCTTTCGGTGGAATTTTGTCTGGCACCACTAACTCCTTCGCCGAAGCGCTCTTTTGTCTCTTATAGAACAGATCGCTGAATTTCTTTTCGACTCTCTTGGGCCTCTGCGGCTTCAGCGCCAATTCGACGTCGCCGCTCTTCTTCCTCATCTTGAGCGGCTCAATTTTTCGCTTGGTCATGACCGGCGACTTGGGGCGGTACGTGCCTTCGACGCCCGCGTACGCTACACTGCAATCCTTATCGGCGAAAATTTGCGCGGCGACGAGTCGGTCGCCGCGAAGATCGCTCTCCTCGTCCTTGGAGCGCCAGCGGTGGCCGATCAGTCGCAGGGAGGCGCGCACGGAGCGGGACCGGCGGAGGCCTCCCTGCTCTCTGCGGAACCTGTCGAGGAGGGAGTCCATAGCCCCGCGGGAGGGCCGGCGCGTGCGTCGCGCCCGGGCATGGCACTCTGGGCTCGACTGCGCGCTCGCTATTCACTCAATAGTGACGTGAGTCGGGTCCGTCGGACGTTCACTCGAAGCGGCGTCGCCCGGTGCAATGTTAGGCGGTGGCGAGTTAGACGAGTCAATGCAGACGATGCGACACTTGGATTTGCCGTTTCCGAACTTCGAGCTCCGTCTGCGGCGAAGCGCTTTGATAAACTGCTCTCGTTTGCACAATCCACGTTGATAAGATACGTTAGTATTTGATGTACACAAAACACATGTCACCGACTGAGATTTGACGTGACGCGTGCGAACATCGAACAAGATAAAAATAAGGCGTAGGGAATAGTTCGTGCACTATGCGCTTAGTGCAACCGTTTACGAATTGTTTTCTATTCGAGTTCGTTACGGACACTGAAAGAAACAATTAATCGTGAAATAAAGTTGACACGATTGTATTGAAGTATGTTTTGCCCTAAATAAGAAATATTACATTGTTGGATTTCGATTTAAATTGTTGTAAAGATCATATGTAAGATCAATCATAATGTTTAAAAAGGAGAAATAATTATTTTCTTTAAGTCATTTTGTTCCAGATGTTCAATAATTATTGCTCAACGTACCTCGTTTCGGGAGACTAATTATAGTTAACTAGGTATACTCTAATATATTAGCTTTTCTCTGATACTTTTAGGTAATAGGTAACAGAATAAACAATATATTTTAATAGAAACTTGGAATTGAAATAAAACGACACTTCCGAAAGCGGTTCCGGCCGCAGTGCATTCACTTGTGTGCAGTACGACGCGTGTTCTTAAATTCAATTCGGAACTCGGAAGCGAGGACAGGCAACTTTAGTTTTAGATTAAACTCTTTTCGCCCCAATGAACGTACCACACGTTTGGGAGAGCTAGGCAATATGTTTAAGTCACGGCTGAGCTCTGTAACTTGAGTAGATTGAATCGCAAGCGGGATGGAAGTGCAAGATGTACGGACCAGTACGGGCTAACTTTATCCATCTTGTGTGGAACTAATTTACTTTAGCCTAGTCAGAAGTTGCACACAACTTACAGCTCTGGGTTTTTATATAAGGCACCCTAAATAAATATACCGATGTTTCATTTATGTTAAGAGTTTATTTGTATATATTATACTTATTTTAGGTAAATTTTAAGAATAATAAATAAAAATCTTGTCAATAGAGGTATGTCCGACAACCGTCTCAGTACTTGTATGTGTATTGTAGAAAGTCCTTTGTAAAATTTGGTAGTAAGTTGTGTGTATAGTGTATTTTTATTTTATACAATACCGGTTGTTTTTCTTTTGTAGAAACTAAGTTAGCCTCGTTTTGGCGAAATAAGCTCAGGCGAGCGAATGCTGAATAAAAGCCAAAGGGTGCATTACCTTGATATGGCGGTGATGCAAGACGTTAATACGCTATTGTTCGGTGGACTAGTATATTGTACTCTGGCTAGACACGCGATGTTAACGGACAGCTATTTTATGATAAAGCACTAATTGCAAATTTAATGCGTTAAGTTAGTTAAGAGTTAAGTTTAATGAGAGCAAATTTTTTTAAATTAAGTAATAGCAAGTAATAAACATTGACAGTATATAGGAGAACAAGATGAGCTCCGCAAAGATGCCCGAAGCACTACAATATCTTGGCACACAAAAAAACCCATAAGTGGCATAAGTAAAAGGATTAGCAGTAAGCCTAATATTATGATTTTGCTTCTTGTGAGCTTCGTGCAAACCTCTGACAAACACATTACCAACTTAAAAGTGAGTTTAAAAGGGCATCAGCAATTAGTCAATTGACTAATAATCTTCCCAGTAATTGCGTTTCAATTTTGCTGTTGTTATCTTGCTCCTCAGTTTCACATGCACTTACACTGTATTCTTGTAAATAGCCGTTTAATAAAGGATTTGAGGTCATTGTTAGAGAGGCATTGTATTAACTTTAGATGTGTTTTATTGTCATTAGGTAGCAAGTACAAAATGGAATGCCTTCTTAATGGAAATTATTCAAGCTATTATAGTTTTGTCCGAGGACTTAATCAATAAATGTTGCATCATTGCCAATTTATCATTGCAAGTAATGATTATGGCATAGTAGTCTTTACCTACTTATAAGGAAATTATTAATTAATATTTAACATTATATTTTGTCTCTTTCTGAATCATTAGAAGATATCTATTGTTTGTTTACTTGTATTTGTGAGTGTGACGACTATAGTTGATTAATATAAAAGGAAAATATTTCATGACTGATGGTCATGCCAAGTGGGTATGTGTAGATGTGCATAATCACCCATTTGTTTTACTGTTCTCACAAAAATCAATGGTCCTTAAATTTGATGTTCATACTAATAACAAACGATATACTATTTGTAAGTGTGTACTCAAAACATACACATTGTAAAGTACGTTAGTATTACTTATTATATAGGTTTATTACGACATTCATACTTCGATACAAAATAAAACTTTTTAATATACGGGAACTTTTGATAAGATCCAATTATGGTCAGTCTCAAGAGGAACCTCTCCGAGGTCTACAACTTTTGTGTGAGCGCAACGTTATTAGGTTTGACCATTGAAAACCGTGATTAATGTGTCATATTATATCGCTCGATCACACGATCGCTTCCGAGTTCTGATTTTTCTTTGTATCATAAAAATAACTACGTTTAAATTGTAAACTATGAAATAAATGGTAGGAAATAGTACATCTTAATAGCTATCAATAAGGCATGAGTTTATAACAAAACCATACTTCGATACAAACGTAGTTCCACTTTCACTCGTAACTTTACCGCATTGTTATTTAAATAACGTCCAAAAACACAATTCACTACACAGAGACACCATAATCACAGATTGATTAGTTCACAATTGTCGTCTTTCCATTTATCGCTTCCATGTTTTTGATGTAAATTCCGAATCTCAACTTTTAAACGCAAACTATAACGTATACTATCTCGCAGCAGTCATAACATCTGTTGAGTGTGAAGTTGCTACGAGTGCGTCAAGGCCGCCAATGGCGACGAACACTCGACGCTTCCTTCAATGCTACCAACATTCCCACAGAGCCAAAGCATCAGTCAAGTTTACCAATGGCGTCGCATGTCAACGGCCTGTGTAAAAATATGAATGGCTGGAGTCTGTAGCTTGCTATATAATTTCATCATCTAATGTGGAATTTCTCAATTATATAATACATCTTAATAGTTTATTTGAAAAAACAATTTTAACTGCATAAATTTAAAAACATAAAAAAGAAGTTCGCATTCCTAATAAATTTATAAAGCTGATGATAATAGCGAGTATATATTTTTTATTTCTACCTTATATATTATATTATCATGATAAATCACAGAATCTAGATTCAATCAAACAAAAAGATTTAAATATTTTATGAAAAAAGACAGTAACTAAAATATGGCACATATCAGTTGATTTAACTACTATCGGCGACCGGTTTGATGTTCTGTTACATTTATTAATTTACTCGTATTAATAACTGCGTTCAACAATACAAGGCGACACGCTCAGTAAAGGGGAAGGTGAAAGTGTTCGGTCGTAAGCAGACCGTGTCGATTCTCGCGCCTAATCCATCAATGAGTGGCCCACCTATTCCGTAATATACCGTAATTCCTTAATAGTACTCGGTACGTAAACAACTATAGGCTGACACCGACAACGAGATAATGTAAGGATAGGTGCACCACGAGACACCTGACTGTGCCCGCGGTAATTAAAGTTTTCTAGTCAGTGGTAAGAATTATCTAGTCCGTTGGCCCGCGTTTTTGCCGCTTTTACTTTTACGGCACGGCTGGAGTGCATTATTTACGTAGCAAGTACTTAGTTCGTAATGGTTTTGTGTTTCACAATGTAAACACTTTACATCCAACGTGTCGGGTAATTAGATTCAATCGCTAAGTTACTTTTATTTACACGCAAAAACGAATGTTCCCGACGAATACAGTGGGGCCGACAAACGACGAGATCTATCGCTTTTAATTTCCTACTTTTTTTTCCGTGAGAATCTGTTCTCTTATTGTTCCAACGATGGTAGGTACAGTTACTATCATTCGATCTTATCTTGAATACTACATGTATTACAGTGAATGTAATAAGTTTTTACTTTTTACGCAAGAATCTTACTATACCATACTTGTAATTACATTCTTTTTAATCTAACTCCGGCGTTTATTGAGGCTCACCGGTCACCGCAAACCATTATTACCCAAATCGAGCTGCCTCATACATTACTCATTTAGCGTCCAACGTACGAACCCTAGATAAAGTTTGTGCAGATCGCTCGTCACTTTTCGACCTAATGTGCCCCTGAGAAAACTAGATTTGTTTGTAAAGTTTCGCAATACGCAAAAACATGGCAGCGAATGGACTCATGTAATAAGTAATTCTAAAATACTGCTGAGAATTCAGGACAACAACTGAACAGCAACAAGAACTACAAAGAAAATCACTAAAGAAACACTATTCATTTTCATTTCCGCGTTTAATATCGTATTGACCCTTGTCAGAAAGAGAGCCTAGAAGGCCTCGGCATTATTATTTAGCTGCTATCCTAGAAATTGTACAGGAACTATTTATCTTTTTGTAAGAATTCCGTTGCGTATGGCTGTGTTTTGATTTTTTTAAACTCTTTTAGAGCGTTAAAGTACTAATTTCCAAATTTGGTCTAAAATTATTTTAATTTATATGATGGGACGTATAAGAAAAGCAATGCAATGGGATATCGAAAAGTTGCAAACACACTGGCGAGAGCCATATTGAGTCAGTTTCTTTTCAATAGTTTACGGGACTCACGTTGTCCATAGCGACACCACAGACACCAAGAATGAAGGCGCCAACGATATTTTCTTACCTTTACATAACTACATTCTACAAATAAGCATACACGTTTATCTGAGATATATGTTTCTCCTATAGTGTGATTTAAGAGCTCGTATCGCGGTAACATTAAAAAAACAATCAAAATAATTTTGAGATCATTAACAACCACGATTTCGGAAAAAGAGCTCCTTTAAACAAAAAGTCATAAACGATTTACCGAAGGTCATCCGGTCCAGTCAATGCCTAATGTTTGCTGATGACCTAAAGATTTTTTTGAAGTGCAAGGAGATGGCTGATTGTGAACGCTTGCAAAATGATTTAGTGAATGTCTTAGACTGGAGCGTTAATAATAAATTGTCCTTTAATGTGGAAAAATGCTCGATAATAAGCTTTATTAG